CACAATCCTTGGTTCTTACCAGGTTTTCTGGTATACTTCTGCATAGTTTTGATTCTAGTTGCAGTTCTCATTGTCCGATATGTGCCAAAATATGGACAGACCCACATGGTTGTTTATGTTGGAATTTGTTCTCTCATGGGTTCTCTTACGGTTTGTTCACCATCACCGAAATTCATGCATCTTATAATTTCCAACATATTCCCCATATCTTGAATTAGTTTCTCTTTAATTTGTAGGTTATGAGCGTCAAAGCAGTAGGAATTGCACTTAAGCTGACATTTTCAGGAATGAATCAGTTTAAGTACTTTGAGACGTGGTTTTTTACAGTTATTGTGGTAGGAGGTAGCATTTTGCAGGTGAACTACTTAAATAAGGTAAATATTGAACGTCGGTGAGAAAGCCTGGTCACTCGAAGTTCATCCTTATTGACTTATTTCTACGTTTTCAGTTATTAATGTTGTAATTGTGGCATATTTAGTTTGAATATATATGATATTGTAGACTAATAGGCGATAATCCTATCCTAATCCATATAGATATGTTAAGGATGCTTCAGTTAAGCTGGAGGAAAAGGTTATAATGGTCCAAAAGAGTAAATAATATGCCTTTTAAGCCTTCAACACCTAACTGGTGAAGCCAGCATCAAAAAGCCTTCTTAGGAAACGTTCCAGTCAGTGTATATATAATATCATTTCCATCTTTTTTTTTTTATATATAACTGGAAGACGGAGCTTTGCTTTCCTATACCCAAGGACATCCATGCCCACCCTAAGACCCAGACCTGAAATACATCAAGAGTTTTTTATATTAAATTCACTACAAAGTTTGAATTTGAAACCTCTAAGCCAGTACGATTAAGAGCTCGAAACTTGCCATCTGGACTACCCCAAGAGGCAATACCATTTCCATCTTAGAAGGCGAGACATTAATTTTTTAGAGTTAAAATACTATTTTGTTTCTTATACTTTTGATTATTATTTTATTTTAGTCTTTTCTCTTTCACAGTATCCAGATTTAGTCCACGATGTTTTAATAAATCTCGATGAGTCTCCTCGATTGGTTTGGAGTTTAGATCAGCTTACTTGGTAAAAGAATAACTTTTCTCTCTCCTTCGAGTCTCTCTCTCCTTCACTCTCCCTTCCCAGTGCCCAGTCACCCCTTGGAGTGTTTTCTTCTATTTTTTTCTCTCTTTTTTTTTTGGGTCAAGTTAGTTGATTTTAATTCCAACTAACAGCAGTGACTGTTTTTGAGATTTATCTAAATTTGAACAGTTTCAAGGTATAGAGATTAAAATGGAAGAACAACTAATGTACTGAACCAAAATAGTATTTCTAACCAATTTCTTATTATAGTGCAATGCCAATCGTATTCAATATATAACTATAGGATGAATAATGAATATGGACTATGGAGAAAATATTCTAACATTTCTCTATTGAGTTTCTCAATTGGTAGCTAAATTAAAATAGATATGGAAAGTTTATGTTAACATGGAATGTAGCTATACACTTTTTCTATTCAGCTTTAACATTATTTGCCATTACAATACTGCAGGCTCTGGACACCTTTAACACTGCTGTAGTTTCTCCAGTTTACTATGTGATGTTCACATCGCTCACCATCCTCGCCAGTATGATTATGTTTAAGGTAACTTAATGGCATTGTTTTATACATATATATATTTCTTCTTTTTTTTTAATTATTATTTATTTTAAACATATTTGCCTATTATATATTAAACATTACTCATTACTATATTAATAAAGTGCATTCTTGTAAATGAATATGGTACACGATACTCCGCTTCTTTAAAGATTAGTGCACATGCATATGTTAAAAATTTAGTTGGGGTAAGAAGAAAGATTAACACCATGAAATGATATTAGCAACTTATATTGGATTTATTTATTATTATTATCATTTGAGTTCAACCAATGGGGTAACCTTCTTTTTGTTGATGATATTACCAACTAATATTGGATTTATTTTTTTATATTATTATCATTTAAACTCAACCAATGGGGTAGGTATTCGAACCACTGACATGATGTTAGCAACTAATATTTGGATTATTTATGTTAACATTGTAGAAATAGAGATCATGAAATGAGAATAATTTCATCATTCATGAGTTTTTATATATCAATTCACGAAAAAAAAAAAGTTCTATTGCTGAACATGTCATCATAGAGATTGTTATGTTTGGAAGCATATGCTTTAACTATCATTTTATACTCCACGTGCTACTACGTCTGACCTTTAGTGTGATCTCAGTTATGCAAATATATTTCTCCAGTAAATCCTTTCCCATTCTTTTTTTTTTCCCTCTCCTAATCCTTCTTTCTCTCTGCGTTGGTTGGTATTACTTAACAGGATTGGGATTCACAAAATGCATCACAAATTGCAACCGAGTTATGTGGTTTTGTTACCATTCTTTCTGGAACTTTTCTCCTCCATAAAACCAGGGACATGGGGAGTTCTCCCGCCTCCGAGGGCCCGATCGTTGTTCGGTCCCCAAAATGCCCCAGTACAAACACAAATTCCGACTAGCAGTAGAACAAAGAAAAATTTAAAAAGCAGTATCACAGGCCAGTCCTTTCCCATCCAAATCCATCCCCAAAACACTTTGTTTAGATAGGTCCTCTCATCATTCAGGAATCATGGCCCGGGGACAAATTTTTGGATGGAAGATTCTTGTTAAGTTATTGTAAGAGCATACAATCGAGAATAGCAAGGTAGTGGAGTTCAAGGGATTGGTTTTCAACTGTGAGGTACACATTCTAAATTCTAAATCAAAAAGCGCACACACATATATGTTACAGGTTGTGGTAAAACGAGGTACATAATAGACGTTAGAGGATACATTCAAGTTTCTGACAGAAATTCTTACAACAGTAGGTTCGGGACTTCTTTTTCGATATCGTGTTCTCTAGTTTTGGTTTTTGATGTGTCAACAATTGTTAATTTGTTTTTGGCAGAAAAATTTGTTGATATAAATGAACTAATGTTTGAGATGAGATGTGTGGAGACACTGTCCTCCAAAGTCTTGGTTTCAAACCTTAAGATTCAAAACTCAGGCCATGTTTGGATTCAAGCCTTAGCCTTGGGGAACTGAACAATACTTTAGAAGTGATAGAACTGATTTCCAAAATCACTTTCTACGTGATTCCTAATAACTATTTGAAGATTTGTTATGGCTTTACTGTATGCTTTGTTTCTTGTTTTCAGATTAAGTGAATCAAGTGAATGTCTGATTGTTTGGTTTATTTTCTTAAATTCTTTTTAGATTGTAGGATCCAAATAGTAGATATTATAACGCTTTTAATGTTTTTAGTGCTTTAAATTTTGAGTTTGAAAATTTTAAAAGGTAGAATTACATTATAAAAAAAAAGATAAAAACATTAATAAATACACTATTGCATGTTATAAATTTACTCCATTTTTATTAAAATTTAAACATGTAAAACATATTATATAAAATTGTAAAATAGCAAGGGTTCAAAATTTATAACATATATGTTAATAAATTAATGAATAATATTTTAGATTGAACTAAATATTTAGTTGGTAACTACTTTTAATATACAAATATATTATTAAACACACTTTAAACAATTTTATAAATTGAGATTTAATTCACATCTGCTTCTAAATATATATTTGAAAACATAAAATACAACTATTTTTTATTGAATTTTTTGTTTAAATTTTTTTTTTCAAATCACCAACCAATTTTCCCTTAGTAATTTGACCATGATGATACTAAATTCACTATTCAAATTAAACATTAATCAATTAGAATTACTTTTAATCATACGAAAATAACTTTTAAAAGTTTGACCAAATATATAAATGGTTTATTAGTACCCACCCCTTTAGAAAATTACCTATAATTAAATCACTTAGGCTAAATTTACTTGTTCAAAAATCATTCCTAAACATGTTCTTAATAAATTAAAATTCTTTATGCCTCTGGATTTTTATTAAGGTGGGATTTTCAACATTTCAGTTATCAAAAACAAATTAGCAATTAATAATCGAGCTAAAATTATGATGATGTAAAATCATCAGACTACAACTTTTATACTGAGCTCTAGTACAAGTAGAGAAGTGTTTAGTTTTCTAACCTGGTAAAATGATCTCTCGATTTGTTCCAATCCGAAATATCCAATAGATACAATGTAGAAATCTGACTGAATTGCATGATGAAGAACTTTGGTTCTTAATCATCATCAGAGAGCACCGTCCGAGTGGAGTTCTAAATGCATTCGCTCCTTCAATATTTTTTCAATGGCGTCTGCAAAGCTTGATAAATTGTGGCGAATGCGTACGTCCAAGGAGTTTGCCATTTTCTGTAGCGTAGGGTGCAAAAGTAATCGGGAAATTTAATGTATACGTAGTAACATAACACCATAATGACAACCATCAAACTAAAGCTCTTCTATTTTTAAAAGTTATGCTTCTTCCTTCCTAAAAAGAAAATAAAAATCTAAAAACTACTTTTTCTTTTCCAAAAAACAAAGAAATACAGCCCCATTAAGTAACGGTTTTGTTTTTAGTTTTGTTTTTCTTTTTTAAATTAGGCTTGTTTCTTCCTAATTTGTTTTGTATGTTATTTACCTTTCTTGAAAATAGCTTTGATGTCTTAACCAAATTTTAAAAGCCAAAAAAAAAAGTTTAAACTGCTTGCATCAAATACGATGAACAGAAACTAAAAAGATAAGGGAAATTGGGGAATCTTACCTCCACCTTGCAAATGAGGCTCAAGGAAATTCCTTTTGTGTAATGGTCGGAGTTCTTAAGAGATATAAGCTTCAAAGGAGAATCAGATAATGGCCAACCTTGAGACACCCTAATAACTGCGCCAATTCCTCCAATCATAGTACATATTATCGTATTGTCTTCATCTAAATACTCAAAGGAATGACTGCATGAACAGAAAATTATTTCAGTAAAAATGACTAGAAGACAATATCACCTTGAGGTGAACATCAAAATTCTGAAAAATCAACCAAAACTGACCGAACCAATGTTGATCGACTGGTTTGATGAACAATTCGGTCGGTGTTGATTTTTAAAAACTCAAAATCGAAGAGAGTCGGTCAGAAACTGTTTCTGACCGGCCAAACTTTAGCTGGTTTTTGACACAGCAGATGCATCGTGTAGTCTGCAAAGTGTGGCTACAGTCTGCTTCATCACTTGCTACTTGGTCGAAAGCTAAATCTTGTGTTAGTTTTAATCAAAACTGACTGACTGTCAATATAATTGGTCGGGTGCAGACAAAAGCTGACATATCGATTGTCGGTATAGGTTTGAGCTCAAAACCGACATCGACCAATCGATAGTTTTATTTCCAAGGATGACAATGGGGAGGGGCATGATTGGGGTGCATTCTCATTGATGTTTGGATTAGGACATTCCCACTCGGATATCGGAGTTCTCCGTGAAAAGTCCTTATCTCATACATCACTTTTTTAATTAACTTTTAGAACAAAGATCACTGTGGAGGGTGCCAAAGAACTAAAAAACGAAAATAAAAAGGTCTGCAAATTTTAAGTCTCACCTCGATTTGTTTGCAGTCTTCACAACGAATCGCCTAAGAGTACACAAAACAATCCTATCTTGTACTTTTCTCACAAACCATTCCAACGAAGAATTGCTGCTCAGTCAAAAGCAATGAATGGGTCAGATAAATTACTTTCTGTTCCACATGTAAAAAATCAATTAAAATTGCAGCCAAGTCATTACAACGTGGGACAAAATGGAGATGATGTCACCATGTGATATTTATCAAAGTTTTATAGATTATATATTTTATCCATCGTGCCATTGCAATTCAACTCAAATAGCTTCACCAATGACTCCAGCAAACCAACGTAATCAGTGAAAGTTGTACTACGCACACTAATCATGCAGCTAGCTCAAATTTGAAATTTTACTACTACGAGCAAGCATTTTCATTGTCGAAACGACCAAATTAACTATCTGTCAGAAATATGTCAAACCTATAAGTATGTAACACCGTTTTGTGCTATACTCCAGTACCGCATATAAAGAAAGTAACTCTTTCTCTCTCATACGAAACAAGGGTATAACTTGCATAAAATGGGAGTTATATGTAGTAGATGCTGAAGGTGATGCTTTAAACATTTATGACAAATATTAAGAGAATTCACACGGAAAATAAGCCAAATTCTTAAACAACCTCCCGGAAGAATGATCATGATCCCAGATTCCTAAAAACCAAGAGAGTCTTGCAAATTTAAAAAAGTCATCACCTTAGTAGGCTCTGGGTTAAGGAACAGAACCTTCCCAGTTTCAACTAAATAGCCCCAGTAGGATTTTGAATTATGGTAAGATATATCACCTTTGATAAAGGTGAAAAGTGAGTAAACATGTAAGACATGATATTAGATTAGGGTGAAAATTGAAATGAGCATAATATTTCCACAATATATTTGCATGATTATTTCAAATCAACAATAGCATAGCCGCATTAGGTCATAAGTTGAGCCTTAAAAAACTAATTATATCCACTGAACTAAGCAATTAGGAGCCCGTTTAGTTAGTTTATGGAAAACTTTGACTGGAGAATGGAGATCTATTCGGGAATACTAAACTGAATTATTTCAATCAGGTTTGAGTTTGAGCAGTTTGGTCAACTTTGATGTGGTCAATTAAATTTTCATTAATGTCTTGTCTGGTTCAGCTTTCCCTCGCTCTCAGATTGACCAACCCCTATGAGGGTAACGACCATGGTTCAATAATAAAGACCAACCAACCTGCTGTTTCCTATTGACTACAGTGGAACCCATGAATCTTATAGGAAACATACCTGAATGACTTTGAAGCATTGATGATATCGTGCAAGTGGACATCACCAGGAAAGATCTGTGCAAATTACTAATGAATTAAGCTCCTTGAAGAAAATTCACATAAATGAGAGAGAGAGAGAGAGATACCTCAGCATTCTTTAACTCCATTGTCCCCTCCAAAACTTCTATTAGCAACTCGTGATTCAATTCAGATGGCTCAATCACACCTTCTAGTCTCTGTAGACTTGATAGATCTTCCAAGTTTGGAATGTGTGTTCGTAGTGACAATCTAATGAAATTTTCAGCAACGTCAATGACCTTCAGGCCACCAATTGTGTCCTCAACCTGTTCTATAACATCCAAACTAGAGAGAGAGATGGAAGGAGGGAGGTAGAGAAAAGTGTCAGTACTAAATACAAAAAATTCACATCTCAATACACTTATTACCTTTTAAATATCTCATCCAGTTCCTGTAAAGATTTTAGAATTCTTTTGTTCTGCTCAATCTGACTATCAAGTTGCAATACCTGGAAGGATCATAAACAGTATCATAAAATGGTTGGTTACTGTAAACTTTATAATGAAATGAGTTCAAAAAGGACCACTTGAGAATAAGTCAAACCCCATACATTGATAGATTGTCATTAAGCTACGATGTCAAGATTAAAACAGTAAGAGGAACCATGAAGTTTAAGCATCGTTAGATTGCAGAATCTCTAGATGCTCAGAATTGATTAAAATAGTATAGAGAACATGTCACAATCAAATATAAAGAATTTAAAAGTAATAAGTTAACAGAAAAAACCTCAAAAGCATTGCATTCGCGCTTGTCTATCATGTTTATTTGATCTTCACCATCCGGAGAGCGGCAATTAAATGTTGCCTTTTCTGGATCCTATAAGATGGTAATGGGTACATGATGACAGACATCTCACTTGGAAGGAATTTTGATTAGGCTTATAAACAAGTTGTCCCCATCATAAGTTAAGCCAAAAGGAATAGAGAAGAAATCAAACCTCAAGAAATCACATTGCAAACAAGAAAAGGTGGTTGGAAAAAATTGACATGTAAACCATATTCAAGCATCAGTAACAATTTCTAAAAACATCTTTGTAAAATTTCTTACCCAATATATTATAGAATCTTTTTTCTTCTTTTTTTACATAATGTGAACTAAAATAATTAAATAACTGGCATGCTACATGTAATATGTTCTTTGAATACCCCTTTGTAAATTTTTTATTGCAATACAAATCATCTCTTACACATATATATCAGGAGAAAGCCCAATAACACTTGAATTTTGAAAGTATGATATTTAGTGCACGTAGATATGAAAATCTGAATGTCACAAGTTGTATTTCCTTACCTCCTTCGCCTGAGACTTGTTAAAATCCAAAAATGTGAATACAACTTACATTCACCTTTCGTAGTTCAACATTTAAGCAACGCATTTTTGGCGTAAGTTTTTGTCAAATCATGGTCTTCACTTGTCCACTACCCGTTAGAGTCATAAAAAAATTGTTTGCAACAGGGACCAACCTCTGATGTAAGACGATCTAATGACAATTTTAATACTTCGAGATCCATCTTCAATCTATTAGAATCTGTAAATGGAAGAGAAGTAAGGAAGTCAACAAAATATGGCTACGAAGTATAAATCAAAAGAAAAATAAATAGATTGCCTTCTATGTTGTTTCTCTTAATAGCCTCAATCTCATTGGAGATTTTGCTGCTTTCAGCTTCCACCATGACAAGTTCCTCTTTCATATGTTCAACGTACGCATCTAGAGAGAGATTTAACAAATTATGAATAAAAAGCACTGGATAGATCGATTAAATTCAGGAAAGGAAATACACGTCGTTAATCCAATAATAGTTGCTAAAATGAAGAAAAAAATCCATTTAACAACAGAGGACATAAGTTTAAAATGCACGCAAATATCTCTTTCCATTCTTCGTTCAATATTGTGGTGCCCTAGGTGTAGAGGAACCACACCAATACATCCCGAACTTGTTGGTTAAACTCTACTGCAGTGCATACGAATACATCCAAACCATTGGAAATTTAAAAGTAAGCTTAACAGAATTACCTAGATCATCAATCCCCAAGAAACTATCAACGTTAGAGAATTCTGACAGAATTTGCTGCAGTCTGCTCTGCACATTTCAAAGAAAAAGAGCCAGTGTTTTTTAAAGAGAGACCGAGAAAATGTAAGAGATGACGAAAAGTAAGATTAACTGCAATAGTAAACCTCGAGATGGAGAGCACACTCCTTCAACAACTTCTCAGAACCTAATGAATCCGTCGAAGAAGCTTCATCTTCCTCCAAAGATCTCTGCAACTCTTCTAGCTCGCTTATGCGACTTCAATAAGAGTAAATATGCTGTTGAATTATACGTTGTTAAACATAATTAGTGTACACGGAAACAAGACAGAGAGAGAGAGAGACCAGCGAACTGCTTGGAGATCGAGGATTGGAGGTACAGACGGTGTTGCTTCCATGGATTCCGGCATTGTTTTCTCCTTCCTCTGCCGGAATTTGCACAGAATCGAGAGAGATTCCTCGCGGCGCGAAAAATCAAATTGAGAGAGAAGCGGGAGTATTCGTCACTTCACGCAGGGGATTTCTTTTAACCAAACCCGAAAATGAAGCCCGGCGCTTGAAAATTGGGCTTAGGCCGCAAGCTTTAGCCCGCGAAATTGAGAACCGGATTGATTTTTTAAACCTTAAATATTTAATTTAAAAAATAGCAAAAACCACATAATTACGTTAAATTACAAAATTTTGCATCCATTCTCTCTCGATACAAAAGGTTATATTTTACATTTTATATTTTTAACAACCAAACTTATAAACATTCCTTCCAAAAATTTTAAAAAAAAAACAATTTTCAATACACTTTTAATAAGTTTAAATTCAGTATTCATTTAGAGAGCTACAAAATATATATTTTTAATCACTAAAATTTGGAAAATAAATTAAGTTCCTAAAGTCACTTGACCATCAAACCAACAAAAAATAGTTACTCAGTTCATTGATGTAGATGACTTGTAAACTATATTAATATCTTCTATGTAAATGTAAATGTCGCTGAGAGCTGAGTTAAAAGTTTGAATCCCGAAACCTCGTATATTTTGCGCCAAAAAGAAAAAAATAAAAAAATTCGAGAATATGTAGCGATAAAGGCACCACCCCACCTGGTTCCAGATTCTTTTCCGCCGTGGAGGAAGTAAGGAAGCACCATAAGAGCAGAGCAGAAGGTATCCTTAGTGTAAGAAGACAGGAAAGCATTAGAAAATACAGCCCAAAAAGAGAACCAATTCCCCATTCTAATTCACTGATCAATAAACTCTATTTAATGAATGAACCAACCGCAATCGCCTGTCTTTTCAGTCAAATACAAACCAATTTTTTTGATTCTTTATAGTTCAATACAAAACAAGATTAACAACAACAAGAAGAAAGAAGAATTCTATACTTGTTAATGGGACTGTGTGCAAGTACAAACCTAGTCATCAAATCATCAGAAAAAGAATACAGATGCAATATTCTCTTGTGTGTTGTGCTCATCTTCTTTTTTTTTTTCTTTTTTATTTTTTTTTAACTTGAGAAAGGAAGGTAAATCCGGATAATGTCTCGTTTTCTAAGCTTACGCCGACATATAGGACATCTGTGCTGCGTAGCTATGGCAGTCTCGATGCAGTTCCTGCAGAAGACGTGCCCACATTTCGTTGTTGTTTCTTCAACCAACGGTTCTATGCAGATTGCACACCGCAAACTGGGGGCTGCAGGCGGGATGATGCTACTACTTTGTGCAAGTGCAGAAGGAATGTCAGTGTCAGTTGCCTGCAACAAGGAGTTTGCAGTTTGGTTTTAAGCTCTAAGAAATGTGGTATCAATCAAAATTTTCAGAACTAAAAGGGTCTGCCTTTCCATTCACAGGATTCCAAACAAAATGAAAAAGATTTGAGAAACATCAGAAATCTACTTCAGTCTCAGATATAACCCATTAGGCAATGAACGTTGAATATTTGACAGTTCACGAGTTGGCAAGCATTCACTCAAACAGTTAATGGCAATTGCCAACAGAAGAGTGAAGCTAATAATCACGAATTTGATTTCCAGCACATTAATGACACTCATGGCAAAGAAAAATATATGGCCCCAACAGAAACTTGCACAAGGTAAAGCAAACTCGATGCAAATCAAATCATTTTAAAACTGTCCAGGTAGCGTGCCTGGATCTGCTAGAGAAAACCATTCCAAGTAGAACTTGTTACTGATCGAGCAGAATAGGGGTAACTAAAGGAAATTCTAAATTTACAACCAGTAATCAAGGGTTTTAGCTTTATAAGTTAAAAAGAAAACATGAATCAAGATTCTCATAGAGCTGATCGTTGCTATTATTTCCTCCATCTCACAACAATATTGGGCATTTAATTTATTTCGTTTCAAAATCATATGTTCACAACTTGTTTATGGGGTTTTAGGCCTAGGAGATGAATCGACCTTCTGTTTCACTTCCCATTAATAATGATTTTTATGTTATAATTTCTTTAAAAAAACTTGTTAACTAAAGATCTTCTAAAAACTAAGACAAAGTTGGTTTTTCATTTTTTGTTCAATTTGGCTAACATTTCAGAAATATTTTCAAAAAGTCGAAAACAGAACAACATATAAGTCTTTAGTAAACAACCTTGTTTTTTTAAAAAGAAATTGAGATTGAAACTATTATCAAATGGGGCCCGAATTCTTCAAAACAGATCAAATCAGCTTCAACATATACAGATAAAATGGTAGCCAAAGATTTGAACAATAGACAGGCATCTTCAGAAGTTTCAAAGCAAATAACAACCACTAAATCAGTACCTTAGTCCTGGCCCTGCTACTGCTTTCAGAGCTCAAGCAAAGGTCCAAGTTGTGAATTGTTTGTTCCCGTATGGAAACGTTATTGTTAATTGTAAGAGGCGGCCAAATTGTAAAAGGGGGCCAACTTGTTACATCTGCCAAATAGTTGAAAACAGGTTAGATTAGAATACATATGCAGATTCCAACAGATTAACAAATGATACGAAAAAAGTATTAACTAATCTAACTGTTGACTGCAACCAAAATAGTTATGTGAAGTCTGAACTGGACTACATTTGGAATTTAAAAACAAAAAACAAAAAAACAAATTCTCAAAGATGGTATAAAGCTCTACCATTAGACACTGAATAAAGTTCAACAGATTTATCAGTAATGATCAGAGGAACACTAGCCATAAAACCCCATAAACAAGTTGTGAACACATGATTATGAAAATAAATAAATTAAGTGCCAATATTGTTGTGTAAGTATTAAGACGTACTTCCATGACCAGGTAGATTACAAAGTTACAAGTGACAAGCTTTGGAAATCTTTAACACAACAGCCCCATGACATGGTAAGAACTTGCAAATCTAATTTCGTATGATTGAAATTTATCTTACCTAACTAAGTATAATTAGTGTAAATTTGTAATTACAATGTGCATTATATGATACTGAAATTTTATTCAGACTTGTGGATCCAGAATATGGAAGATTCCCCAGTCTATAAAAAAGAAACTAAGAAAAATCCAAGAATGTGAATATATCCTCAAAGAACATATTAACTTTATCAGAAAAGCAGAAGGTATCAGGAAATGGCCATGCAGATACACTATCACAGAGAAATAACCAACTGAAATACAAATAGAGAAGTTTAAAGACCCAAAAAGAAGAAGCAATAAACCTGAGAGAGCACCATAAACTTCTGTGTTGGCATTAACTCTGACGGCTACACCACAGCTACTGTCAAAGTGGTTTCTTCGAAAATTTTTCCTGGCCTAAAAAATTTGACACCATCTTAATCCCCTAACGTGGCATAATTTTAAAATATAAACATATTATTTGACCAAAATATCACATACTTCAGCAAATTTCCTAGGGGATATTATAGCAATGTCCTCATCAACAACGTCAGGATTGTCTGTAGCTTGTCGTTGGTGATGATTAAAGAACTGTGCTGCTTCCTCGCGAGGGCCAGTTGGATTGATGCACTCATCTGGAGGTGGACAATTGAGGTCGAAGTCCATTACTGTTCTTCTCTCAACAACTCTTGCATTCCATTCATGTAGATCATTTCTACCTTGAATGCTCATTCCAACAGCCTCTCTTATCTATCAGAACTGGAAAAATAGAATCATCCACAGAAAGGTAGAAGTAATTCAGATATAAAAACCCATGATGTTAAATCATGGCTAATGCAATTCCCAAGAAGTCCACACTAAATTGAATAAATGGGTTAAGCATTAAAATTTGAAAAATTCTGAGAGTTCCATGGTAGGATACACAATAAAAAATCTATCTGATTGTTAAAAGAAGGTACACTTCATCAGTTTAAAACGTCAAGCCAAATTTGAAAATGATTGGTTTCATACTCTTAAAATTTAAGCTTTTGTAAACTATATATACTTATCATTTCTAGTTTGTAATTTACTAAAACACTTCTAAATTCTTGGTCAGTTTTTAGAAACAATAACCAAATTCTGAAAATTACTTATTTCATTTTTTTCTTAAATCTGCTAAGATTTAAAAACGTTTATGAAACTAGATTAGTAAAAAAGATGAACGTTCGTAAATAAATTTTATAAAAAGGGCCAAACGTGACATGATCTAAGAATAATAGAAGGCCAAACAAAATCTTTACTGTTAATATCCGAATTTTCCCCATTTCATCCAGGGCGGTATTACGGCTTCAAAAACATGGAGAATTTTCCCCCAAAAAAAGCCCCAGGAAATATGCCTAAAAATAGCACCCCTAATTTAGTCAATATATGGTTAACATTTTACGACCTAAACCGAACCAACAAAAAATATATAAAAAACCCTAAACGAAATTGACCCAATACTACAAACAATTCAAAGAATCAGCTTCTTGAATCTGAAGCAAACATGCTAAAACTTCCGGTGGGCTATTACTCGAGAGTTCAGAACTCGAACTCGTGGCCGAAGCACGCCAAAGGGTCAAAATCGAAAGCATATAAAGAGCAACAAATACAATCAACCCAAATACAAATACCAAAAACAAAAACAAAAACACATCAAATGAGGACCGAAAAAATCATAGAAAACAGCCATGATTCGAGCAATAAAACAGTAGCATGAACAAAATAGTAACGGAGATCGTACCTGCTACGGAACGGAGCGGCAAACTGCGGCTGGAGCGGAGCGATAGAAAGAGGAAACGCACGAATTTTGCAGAGACGAAGAAATGGGGGAAGAAAGAGGGAGAAGGGCGAGGAGGCGGCAATCGATATAAAAGTAATCTTGGCTTCCATTCCATATATGTAGAGGTGTTTCTTTGAAAAACTTTACATCCTTGCGATCCTCCTTTCCTCGAAATTATTCTTTATTTGCCATCTTCGCTGCTCTTGTCCTCTTCGCTGCTGCCCGTACTCTCTCTCCTGCCCTGCCCGCCATGGGCTCTGCTCAGGCCCATTGGGCTTTACAGCCCATGATGCAGTGGGCTTTAGTGGGCCGCCCAGACGATGTTCAAGTTGCCATTTTTGCCATCAATTTTCGTAATAAATCTTCAATTTTATTAAAGCGTTCAAAAGTTATTTTTGGTTCAAAGTTCAAACATTCTATTTTCCTAAATTAAAGAAAATAATTACAAATAATAATAATAACTCACTATTTTCGATTAAAATTAAGTTTAACCCTGGCAGAAAATTGAACTCACATAAAGTTATAAAGTTGTTTATCTTTGAAATTCTATAAGTTGGTAATTTTTGTAACATTTCTTGAACTTCGTGGTCAATATTGCAACGAAGTAAAAAATAAAAATAAAAAATTTCTTCTGGGTTCATATAAAAACCTAATAACCTATTTACAGTAATATAATCCCAAATCGCAATTTAAATGGTATAATATAAATTATATCCGACTCAAATAACGTGATGTAATAATAATTTAAAGAGTATTGTTTAATAATATAATCTAATATCTCATCTGAAATTCATGTACGGTTAATGTCAATGTCAATGCTCATTACCAAAACCAATAAGGTTGATGCGAATACCAATACCAATGCTAAGACTATAAACCAATGTTAATCTCAAACCAAAACCAACCCCAAATGACAATCCCAAAACCAATATTAAAGTCAAAGATGATTCCAACAACAATATTAATACAAATTCCTACAACAATCGTTACCAATTCCAACGTAAATCTGTTATACTCTCTGATGTCATGTTATTAATAACTATTCCACTGATATGTCATAAAAATCAATTGAATAATTCCTCCATCAATCCTTTAACCTGATTTCGATCCTCTTATATATTGCAATATCATATTAATTTTAGAGGAAGATGAAAAATAGATAAAATACGTAAACAACCGTGATTTCATTGAATTGTATTGTGTTTGTTTACAAACTCAATAACTTGTTTATAATAATATGATTCCAAGTCATATTTCAAATAGGAAATTTAGTTAAAATAATACAATATAAACTCATCGTTCAAATAACATAATATACGATAATTTAAACAACACAATATAATAATATAATATAAGAGTATTAACTAGGTCGAATAATATAATTAAAGCAATTAAAAGGTTACAGATAAAATAGAATCATGAAATTCAAAGTTCACGAGTAATATTAGTCCATTCGTAGTATAGGTTACACAAACCACAAGTTCATATCATTTATAATTACGAAGAGGCTATATAATTATATGATAAATCAATAAATTATGTTGTATAATAATATTACAAAAATCTCATGGGTGACTCTGATATGAAATAATTAAGGTAAATTTAGATGTAGATCCTAAAATTGAGTTTTAATATTTCAAGCTTTTACACTTTTTATTTGATGCATACAAAATAACCAATTAGGTAATTTCAATAAAATATTTATAAATAATAAGCTCATGCATGGTTAATCTATTATTTTAGTAACGTCTGTTTTTTTTAATACAACAAATATGGTGATGAAATATTAAAAATATAACTTAATCAATGAACTATTGTTCGTATTGATTTTTTGTTAACGTATATGGTACGCAAACATGTAACTAAAAATCAACCTATGACACATGTCACATTTACTGAAAATCAACATGATACATTTACTGATTTCTCCGAAGTGGAATGTTGGAATTTTAATATCCCACATTTATTATACTTAAAAAATGTCACTCATGAAGAATAAACTTCACTAAGACACTACACGAAAAATTTTAATTTAAATTTTTAATATATTAAGAATAAAAATAAAAATTTTATAATATGAAATAAAGATAAAAAATAATTAGGTGCCAATGAACACGATCATTAATTGACAGTTCATTATTAAAAATTATATATTTTTTACATTTATCTCTTATTTATAAAAAAACTAAATTGTGGTCAGCATGAGATAGTCATCGCAGCATCTAACGATATTTCAAATAACATGTAAAAAAACTAGAGATTGTTGAATATATTTTAGTCTATATATTAAAAAAAGCCTTGAAATTTATGCTTGTTCATTCACATTATTAATAACAATATTATTATTTTCTTGTTCGAGCACTGTACAACAATATGGTGTGGTTTATCCACAATCAGAAATGGCGGGAAGCACACGCGCCATTAAAATGAAAATATCAGCGTAAAGCACACGCGCCAATGGCTCGACAGCCTCCCCAACGTCCTGAAGTCTGTCTCGAGCAATTCTTGCTTCTATCACCTCAGCTCGATTCAGCTCTTCAATCAGAAATGGCGGAAGCTTGTTGAATCCGCGYAGAATTTCGGGGTCAAATTGTTGGCAAACGCCTGCTGAGCTTTCCACTGCTCGATTGCTTCTGCTGTGAATTTCCTTATGGTTATGGTGGCAGTGTCACTCGGTGGTTGAACTTGAATGTTCGTTTTTAGCTAGATATATTGTTTCATACGGCGGTTCCGGTCGTACCGTTGGGTTTCGATTTCGATTGAGTTTTTTTTTTTTCTCAAACGACGAGGAAGAGAAATGGCGGCGCGAAGTGAATTGATTCTTCAGTTGATGAGTTTGACCCTGACGATTCATCTACTGGCTGTATCCGGCGAGTTTTTCAAGCCGTTCAATGTAAGCTACGACCACAGGTCTTTGATCATTGATGGAAACCGCCGTATGCTTATCTCCGCTGGTATTCATTATCCTCGCGCTACTCCGGAGGTAATTCGGCGATCCTTCTACTGCTACCGCTTTACTCTTTGCCTTTCTTGGTTGCTGAAACGATGCGAGAGATAATAAATCAAACTGTTCTTGACTCAAGGGGAAGTGAATTTTGTGAGTAGGTAGTTTAAGGTATGCTCAGTACTCTGTCAGGATAATGATAATGGAAAGAATGCCTGGAACTTGGTACTTAGTTATGGCACTGTGGCCTGATCAAACGTTTTACTTAATCATACTGGCCCGATTGATTATATGGCCTGATCAATTTGGTCATATGTTTTTACATGATCGTAGATGTGGTCTGATCAAATTTGTTTTATGTTTTTACACGATCACAGATGTGGCCTAATCTTATTGAGAAGAGCAAGGAAGGTGGGGCGGACGTCATACAATCTTACGTGTTTTGGAATGGGCATGAACCAACGAGGAGACAGGTGCAGTAATTTGCTTCTTACAAGCTAGCCCAATCGTCGTGTTCGTAGTAGTTTGCTTGTTAACTTAATTTTTGTTTTCTTTCAGTATAACTTTGATGGGAGATATGATCTCGTCAAATTTGTGAGGCTGGTAGGATCCAGTGGACTCTACCTTCATTTACGCATTGGACCGTACGTGTGTGCAGAGTGGAATTTTGGGTATATCCTTATGTCACCCATTGATGTATTCTTTTACTGGTAGAATTTGCGAGTGGGCTTTCTCTTTGAGACTTCATTGTTTGGTTATCTAGTATTTATCGCCAATGAATCTGATAACATTTAAGTTTAGATATTTTTGGCATTCACTTCATCTAAAAAACAAAATAAATTGGTACTTAGTGCTTCATATAATAATGCATCATGCTTATCTGGGGTTGAATGTAATGGCTTATTTGTACCTGGGAAAACAGTGGCTTAGACAAGATCACAATCTGTCATGGCTAAGGCCGTTCGGCGCATTCATTTCCGATGGCATATTTAAATGGAGAATGTAACACTACAGTAGACTGGTTCTGAAAAATTCGAAATGTCAAACTATTTTTTTAAACATAAAAAAGATGCATCTGTTGAAGAATACTGTTCAGATGAGCCTCCTGTCCTTATAGACGACATAACTCAACACTGCTACTGACTGGTTGTCATCTAAAAACTATTCATCTGATGTTTACAAAATGTTAACAGTAATGTAGTATGGGATTATTGTAGGGGTTTCCCTTTGTGGTTGCGAGATGTACCGGGAATTGAATTTCGAACCAACAATGCTCCTTTCAAGGTGCCTGCGTATCTCTTAACATATATTTGTACTTGCTAGTTGATATTTTTTTAGTGCAGCCAAAAGTTTGACATGTGAACTTTCATAAAATCAAGTCAATCATGTTGTTTGCAATTGATCTTTGTCGCAGTGACATGATTCAACACTTACTTTTTGTTTACAGGAGGAGATGCAGAGATTTGTCAAAAAGATAGTGGACATTTTACTTAGTGAAAGGCTATTTTGTTGGCAAGGTGGTCCTGTCATCATGTTGCAGGTTAAATAGAAAAGTTAATAGCCACTGAATATTACTGTTTAATTTGTTAAAAAAATTATTGTTTAATTTGATGATCGCGATTTTCAACCATGCAATTGAAATTTGGTTTGACTTGCTCCTTGTGGGGTGAAGCATTAATCTGAAAGTGATATGCTTCATTTTTGTGATCGTATTCTCGTTTTGTGTCCTCTTGGTATTGCATATTTTTTTGTGATTCATCTTTCATTTGAAAATAATATTTGTATGATTCTTTATAGCATATCAGTACGAATAATTCTGTTTGTAGGCCTTTTTTTTTCCTGAAATTTCTGATAGGATGACGTTGACATTACTTCTTTTACGAATTTCATTCTTACTGCCATTCTTTGAAATTTAATAACAGGTTGAAAATGAATATGGAAATATTGATAGCTCATATGGAAAGAGAGGGAAGGAATATATTAAATGGGCTGCCAAGATGGCTCTAGGCCTTGGTGCTGGAGTTCCATGGGTCATGTGCCAGCAAAAGGACGCTCCATCAACCATTGTAAAACCTTTACCCGATACATTCAAATTTCATGAGATTCTCTATCTCATATGAGAAAATAAACTTGAGGGTATCCGGTTGAACTTTATGATTTTTTTTTAGACCAAAATTTAAAATCTGTTTTCTATCATTTTCTAACATAAACTTTTGTTTGGAAAATTTTTACTTACTATTTTATCCACTTCTTGTTGGCATTAACTTCAAGAATGTAATACATTTACATTGTAACAAAAGCTTTAGTGGTTATACACACGACCAAAACATAACAAAATGTTTGTTTTCTTCTTCCTTCCTTCCTGTTTAAAAAAACAATTATTTGCATAAATTATCTCGTAAAATGTATTTAATGAGTTAAAGAAACTGTGTATTTGTATGTGTCTTTTTAGCTTTTATAATTTATAAGTTTTGAAGTAAAAAATAATTTTTAACTGTGTAGCTAAAACATCGGTCAATGAGATTCTGTTAAGAATAAACTGAGAAAAGTTTGTATTTAATTTCTTCTTGAAATCTGAAAATGAGAGACCCAAAGTAATGAGAAAATGACTGTTGAAGTGGTGACTCACCTGCAACATAAGCTTGAGGTCCAAAGTTTGTTATCTTATCTTCTATTTGTTAATGATCACAGATAAATTCATGTAATGGTTACTACTGTGACGGTTTTAAGGCAAATTCTCCCAGCAAACCAGCACTTTGGACAGAAAATTGGGATGGATGGTATACATTTTCTAATTACCATGAGGATTACCGTACCATTTGTTATTTTCTTTATGTTATTATTACTCTTCAACTCATTGAAATGTGATTTATTTTTCTAATTACTATGAGCATTTATGTGGTAATCCTTTCAAAGGGAAAGCAAAGGTGTTAAGAGGTGCTGATTTAGATTTTCTTGTGGAGACAACGAAGTGTAGAAAATTTAGAAGCTTGACCAAAACCCTTCAAAATTTATACTCGCCAAACATTAATTAATTCATTCATATGTTGATTTTACATGATCAAGTATATTATTTCTTCTGTTGGATAATTTCAGTGGCATAAACATTTCAATTTGATGAAGGTTTACATCATGGGGCGAAAGAGTACCCCATAGACCAGTTGAAGATCTTGCATTTTCTGTTGCACGATTCTTCCAGCGCCAAGGGAGCTTTCAGAATTATTATATGGTACGTAAAATACCTGCAATTTGGGGCTGATTTGGAAAAATGTCTATTGGCAGATATTAATCAGAATTCTTCGGAAGATGGTATTGAGAAATGAATCACAACATAATTTTGTGCTCTTTTTGGATGGTATCAACATTGATTTCATGTGTTATAGAATAGAACACTGTGTTTTTTCGGCTTTTTGAAAATTCGATCTTTATTAGTGTTCTTATTTCATAAGAAACAACGTTGAAAGGGATTACACAGGGTAGGGATAAGGAAACACCTGTTCCCAGTAGGTTTTCTGCATCATTTTGTTATCAATTTTGGTCATATCTCTTTTCCTTCTTTTTGATGAAATTTATTTATTTCCATGTGATAGAAATAATGGAATGACGGTGATAGCATTTACAATGAAAATCAGCATGAAATACTGTATCTAAAACCAGTTTAAGTCATTGAAGTGAAATTAAAAGTGAAGAGAGTGGAACAGAAGAATACCTTATGATAGATTTTGGAATACTTTTGAGGACTGAAAAATTGTTCACAATACATCAATTTGGGTGAGGATTACATGGGGACTTCCAAACATTTCGCCTTCTTTTTAATTAAATAGTTTGGGGCTTGTAACTTGGGTTCGGTATAGATTTTTGTCTTGAGACTTATCTTGTGGCTCTTTCTGTATTTTTCTTTTTTATTTTTTGAGCCACATAGGTACTTTCGTATTCCTAGATAAAATTATGTTTTTATTGGAGAAAAATGTAAAATATGATATTTTTTGGATATGGAATCAACAGATTGTTTATATCCTGCTTCCTGCATTTACTCGATCTATCTCAACTTAATTCTGCAATATTTGCAGTATTTTGGTGGAACAAATTTTGGCCGTACAGCTGGAGGCCCATTTTATATTACTAGCTATGATTATGACTCTCCAATTGATGAGTATGGTAGGTATACGTATATTGGGTCGAAACTGATTTTCTCTGATACCTTTTAGTTTTTACGTTCAGTTACATGCTGTTAACATTTAAAATTACCAAGTCTATGTCATTCTTTTGTATAAAGGCTTACAAAACCATTATTTATAGGCTTAACCGGAAATATTAATTTTTCTTCATTATAGGTTTGCTGAGAGAGCCCAAATGGGGGCACTTGAAGGATCTACATACTGCATTGAAGCTCTGTGAACCTGCTTTGGTGTCTGCCGAATCGCCCCATTATATTAAGTTGGGACCTAAGCAGGAGGTTGGGCAATAGCTTGAGCTATATATATAAAGCTATTTTTATTTTTATTTTTTTGCACTGTTATTAGAATTTTTTTATCATGTTTTGAAATAGATAAATCATAAACTATAGAAAACAAGGCTTTCACTAAGAGAGTTAAAAAGGACACTCATCTCTGTCAGAACAGAAAATAAAATTGCAGCAGAGAGAGTTAGAAAAAAATGCCCAAAATGCACTGAATAAAACACAAAGCTCTAAACAGACCAATACAAAAAATTTCATCTCCACTTAAAATTAAATGTACCAATACCAACTATTAGCAATCAAAGAGGGAGATACGTAACAAAGATTGGGAGGAGCTAACTTTTTCAGAAAGCAATAATGTGTAAATGATCTGAATTGTCTTTTGCTTATGGATGTCTTCTGGTAACTGAATAGTATATTGCTTTTATTACTATTTCTCAGGCGCATGTATACCGTATGAATGCTCAAACTGATGAGCTTAAACTTTCCGAGCATGGAAGACTAACCAATTGTTCTGCATTTCTTGCAAACATTGACGAACATAATGCAGCTACTGTAACATTTAACGGGCAAACTTATAACTTACCACCATGGTCGGTTAGTATTTTACCAGACTGCCGGAACACGGTGTTCAATACTGCAAAGGTATGGTTCTCCTATTGGGTCTTGTACTTCTTGATGGATCATTTGGTAATGCATGATGGAGAATCTGATTCAATATGCTTTTTCTTTCACTGTAGAAATTGGTATAAGATGCTGTGTTATTCTTGCTATTCTGTATTTAATGTCAAGGAAAACTGAAACTAAATTGGAAATTTGGTTTCTTTCTCAACTTTCTATAAGCTTTAATGATATATGTTGTTCCGGCTAGTTACATATAAGGCCTAAGAAAACTGGAAGTTTGAAACTGTATTGGAGGTTTTATTTCTCTCAAGCTTCTATAATGGTTTTGACTCCGTGTATTAGATGAATTGGTTCTGTAACGAGCGTGCAGATTTCTGATTACATTGTGTTGACCTGTGCTTGTTGAATTGCTTATCACCAGTCTTCCCATAACACTCATTTTTCTGTCTTTGGATAGTATATAATTTTACTTGAGCACCTTTTATCGCAAATGTTAAACAGGTTGCAGCACAGACTTCCATCAACTTATTGGAGTTTGATGTGCCCTTTTCTCCTAACATTTCTTTGAAGTTACATGCTATGCGTCAGAATGAACTTTCAATAATTGGGAATTCTTGGATGGTGGTAAAAGAACCTATAGGCATTTGGAGTGGCAAAAATTTCACCGTCAAGGGTATACTGGAGCATTTAAATGTTACAAAAGATAATTCTGATTACCTTTGGTATTTGACCAGGTATTTTTTCATTTAATTGGTAAAATTGGGAGCACAATTGCACATGTTTGCTGATAAGTAATAAAATGATGAGAAGAAGTATTGTTCTACAAGGATTATTTTTTAGTGTTTACCAGATCTAACTTTAATATGAATAGTGGAAGTTGAAACAATAAAATTAACTTAATGAACCAATTTGAACTGGACGGTAACTTTCAAAGTATTGATGACTTCATGTAGAAAATCAATTTATAAGTATCCGAGGGATTTGATTTCACCAACCAGGTTTTCAAATTTTGGCTATCACCCCTCCTTTGTCGAGGATTAACATTAACATTAACAAATGTTGTTCTTGCTGTTTTACTCTCTTGTACATCGATTTTATGTTAAAGAATAAATACAAATTGAATAATGTATTTTAGCTAGAGTTGTGTTTACTTAATAAAATGCACAGTTCATGTTTGAATCATTTTCATTATCATTTCTTCATTTCAAACTTAGTGGATTCCAATTAGGCCTTAAGCCTTGGTCCATACTTGAGGAGACTGTTCAAATTGATATAAATAAATTAAAATTTTGAGATTAGTGCTAAATATAATTTCAACATATTATCCCAAATTTCCCTATTTATTTTGTTATTTCACGCCTATGTACTTGTGGAATACAGGATACACGTCTCCAAGGATGATATCGCATTTTGGGAAGAAAGAAATGTTACCCCAACAGTTATGATTGATAGTGTTCGTGATGTGTTTCGTGTATTCGTTAATGGGAAGATTGCAGGTGATTAAATATGTTATCTTGCACTGCATCTGTCGTCTTTTATTTCAAAACTCTTCATATTCCTGTGAGGATTTTAGATTCTGCATATGATGCATGAACCATAGGGTATGGGGTTCGTTGCTTAATATTGGGGACATTGCACTTTCGGCGTTCTAGTTACATTTTACAAGATAACTACAGCCACCAAATGATACAAGGATTTAAGGATGTGTGTGTAATTGACGTTCGTGAACTTGACCATAGCTCAATTGGTTATCTACCCTAGGGTGTGAGTTAGAATCCTCACTCCCACACGTTTGTATTAAAGAAAACTTATGATTGTCATTCATAGAAAGTCACCCTCTTTCTACCCCTTTTACGTGGAATGACACCATTTTGTTATTTCTACTAGTTTTTAACTACCAAGTCCCAATTTGTTGTGGTTAGGAAATACAATATAAATTTTTTTTGAATTATTATCTTTTAACCACCCCTTTTTAAGACGACAATGAGAAGAAAATGGTAAAAAAGAAAAGTCAAATTCGAAGTAGGGAGCACAACAAAATTAAGAATTAGATTTCTGTCTTCCTTCACTCTCAAGGCAATAGATTTACTTAAATCATAAATCTTATTCTTAATTTGTGCGTGATGCAATAGTGAAGTCTCACCAATGGCAAACTTTTGACTGGGAAAATGGGTGTTGTAATTTCTTCTCTGGGACGCTCTTCAATAGTGTTTTAAGTGGGATTTGTGAACTTTTGGAATCCCAATTGCATGATTATGAGAAAATATTTCTGAAGAACCAGAGAGTCTTAGGCTCTCGTTAAGGGTGTGCCAGCCATCTGATATTATCATAATAATGAACAATCCTTCTTCATTCCTAGGACTGTGCTCCACTGCATCCACTCGATTTAGCCAACTTTTTCTTCTTCAGTTGTTTCAACCTGAAGTTTGAATATGCACTCTTAGTTTTGGGTTCCACCAATATTCCTTATTTGATATCCTAAGTTGAAAATTCGAACTTATCTATGTAGTCTGTGGCTTTTTCTTTGGATCCATCCACTCACATGGTGAGATTTAAAGTGGTTTGGTGGTGGATGTTTAGGAACTGAGTTGGATTTCCTTTTCTTTCCTCCAGGGTCAGATATTTGAATTGATTTCTGAAAATGTCTGTGATTTTGATCATTTGTTATTTTCTTCTTTACACAAAAATGATTCTGTTGCATGGGAAATTTTAGAGAAATCCTCTACAGCATTGAGAGGAAAGATTTGGGTTAAGTTGTCACTTGCTTCTAATAATATGAATATCTGCATTTTTATGTCACAGTCACACTTACAAGTACTAATAACATCTTACATTAATTTTAACTGTCTTGTGGGAGAAAAGGCAGCATATTCGGTCAATGGGTGAAGGTTGTCCAGCCTGTTCAGTTTCTTGAAGGAGACAATGATTTGCTGTTGCTATCTGAGACAGTGGGTTTACAGGTAAAACTTACATCTATAGCTTTCCTTCAGCAGAGAGCAATCTGAATGTGTTTAAATAGTTAAGGACAATGTAAAAAAGTTTTATTGGTATTATAAATAGACTTTTTCCACCTCCAAGGAGCAGTTCGGTTGACAAGGGGTTGGGGTCTCTCAGTCATACTGGTTTATAGGTCTTAAGTTCGAATATTTCTGGTGAGTTTAATACCAAAAACCCTTAATGTGTCTCGAGTCGGAGCCTTGGGGCAGACAACGGTGCCCTTGGGTACAAGGGAGCAAGCTTTGACTCCCACTCCTCAAAAAAAAAAAAAAAAAACTTTTTGCTTTAGTATAGTATTACATTCTAATTACTTATTTACTCGTTGGCGTTATGTTGCTCATGTATCTCATATATTATTTAAATAAAATTTCATCTCATTATAGAACTCTGGTGCCTTCATTGAGAAAGATGGGGCAGGGATCAGAGGCCGTATAAAGCTCACTGGATTCAGAAATGGGGATATAGATCTCTCAGAGTCCTTATGGACCTATCAGGTAATATTCTCTTGTAATTGCTTAGTAGGACCTCTTTCTAATCTACCTACCTTATCTATAAGCTTCGGTATTAACTTTTAGTTTATCCATATATCTGACCCTTTTCAATAATTTATATCTGTATTGAAAGTTCCCTCATTACATTTAGAGAAGAATTCATTTTGGCACTAGGTTGGACTCAAGGGCGAATATTTGAATTTCTATTCATTGGAAGAAAATGAGAAGGCCGGATGGACTGATTTGACAGTTGATGCAATTCCATCAACATTCACCTGGTACAAGGTAGATATATCCACAAGCCTCTCTCAAAATCACTGTTATTAGAAGAAATCATCTTTGATGCCATTATAAGTCCGGGTTTAGGATCGTGCATGTGAAATTTTTTTTACACCTAGGATTTTATATCCTATGAGTTTCCATGTCAACTAAATATAGTAAGGTCAGACAGTTGGCTCGTGATTAGTCTAAGTGTGCGCAAACTGGCCGCCGGTTTTTGGTGTCTCTGCGAGATATGTATAGTATAGGGGTTTTCACTAAATACTTCTGTCCGAGGAATCTTTATTTTTCATGTTCTCCATTTCTTGTGTATTTGTACGGTCAGATTGATGCAACATATGGTATTCTGAATAGACATTTAAAGAAATTGGGGACTTTGTTTTCTATTTTTGTTAGATTCTTTATTCAAAGTTCCCAGTGATCCATTGAAGTTCATATTATCAAACAACATATCTCTTCAAAGTTTAGAACTTCACTCCTTTTGTCATTGGTGCAGGCGTACTTCAGTCCACCTGATGGAACCGACCCCGTCGCCATTAATCTAGGAAGCATGGGAAAGGGGCAGGCTTGGGTCAATGGTCATCATATAGGTAGATACTGGACTCTGGTTGCCCCAAAAGATGGCTGTGCCAAAAAATGCGACTATCGCGGGGCTTATAATTCGGCCAAGTGTACAAAAAATTGCGGAAGACCTACACAAACCTGGTATGTCCTGTCCACGCCTACTTTATAACGGAATGAATCCAAATTATGTTTAAATGGTGATATAAATATACATCGAGTCTGAACTTGTTAGCTTAGCCAGTAGAAGTATCTTTTAGGTATCACATTCCGCGATCGTGGTTAAAGGAATCGAACAATTTACTTGTTCTCTTCGAGGAAACTGGAGGAAATCCGCTCGAGATTGCGATAAAGTTGCATTCAACTGGAGTTATCTGTGCTCAAGTCTCGGAGTCCCACTATCCACCTCTCAGGAAATGGTCTGCTGATTATATAGCTGATGGAGAAACTCTCTCAAATAGTTCAAACCCGGAAATGTTGTTGCATTGTGATGATGGCCATGTAATTTCCTCCATTGAATTTGCTAGCTATGGAACTCCTCGAGGAAGTTGCAGGAAGTTCTCAAGAGGCCGCTGTCATTCAACAAATTCTTTGCCTGTTGTTTCCAAGGTAAGTTATCACTGCTCTGAATATTATGTTACATAATATTTCAGGTTAAGATGGTGACACATCACTTTATTTATTTATTTAAATTGAAGTTAAAAAATAAACCAAAATGAAATAACTGTTTTAAAAATTGCGTGTTAGATTTTTTTTTTTATTAAAAGACACTTTTAGTCTCTTTCATTGAAGTAACAATTTAGTATCTGTAGTTTAAAGTTTGTAACGATTTAGTTTTTCAAATCCTATACCTTCAAATGCATTTTTTAACCTAGATTTCTTTCATGTAGTCTTACTTCAGCCGGCTCTCTTGCACAATCAGGGGGCATCTTAGGCATAATTCTAAATCCTAATTCTTTATATCTATAATTTTTTTTTTCTGAAAGAATGAAAGGGAAAAATTAGAAGAGAACTCAAATCTTAATTCTTTCAAATATATATTTCTTTAATCTAAGGCAAACTAGAGTTGGGAGCAATTGCCCCCTTTTTTGGTAGTCATATGAGTGATCTTTGGGTTAAAGAAGATGCTTCCACCATACAGAGCCAAGTTTTTCAAATTCCATTGGTGTTATTTATTTATTTTCAGGCTTGCTTAGGGAAAAACAGTTGCACCGTTGAAGTTTCAAATCTTGCATTTGGAGGTGATCCATGCCATAGCACTGTGAAAACGCTTGCGGTTGAGGCTCGGTGTTGCACATCGTTGGATGTTCATATCTCCACACGACACTAAAAGCAGTTGCTCTTGGTAACATAGCTGCTCAAGTCTCTTTATGTATGTGTTTGTGTATATCCTATTCTGCCACTCTGTTGTGTACCTAATTCGTCGATGTCAAATTCGTTGTAAATGTATGATTATACAAGATTTTAGAACCAAAAAAAAAAAAAAACTGTTTGGTATGAAATCAACGATAATATTTCTTATTTTCAGATTCATTGATTCAAGATATAATAGATATCTATTTGGTAAATTAGTTTTTTAAAATCGTTTTTAGATTCAGCCCAATGATGAGGTTGACATTGGCGTGACCAATAAATAATGTTTTCAATCAAGAGAAAGAAAAAAAATATATGAATATAGCTTAGAAGTAATTCGTACCTACACCTCTCCAACAGGTTGAAAGTTCGAACTTCCATACTCCAATCCAATTTGTTGTATTAGAAAAAAAAAAAGAATGTGCATTCAGAGCATATACCCAATAAAGCCTTACCTTTCCACCGGGAAAATTAAAGAAAGATACTTTGGCTACAAAACTTTAATAAAATCTATTTATGCAATAAAAATAGAGCAATAAAAATACACCACGTTAAAGAATTAGTAGCAGGAACTCTTGGCCGACCAGGACGTAGGTCAGTATTGTTCCTTCCCAGTCATTTCCCCCACGGAAAACAGCAACATCTCTGTACATAAACATTTACCAACTCCGTGTAAAACAGTGAAAGAAAAAAAGATGACTTTTTACACCTAACATTTAACAATATTGCATAAAAATGACTGAATTTGGGCTCAACTTTCAAAATAACCACACCCAACAAACCAACCTTGATTCATAGGTGGTCAAGATATATCAATGGTGTACAAATTTTTATTTATAGTATAGAACCAATTAGTTCATTTAGTAACTTGCTTGATCCTTTTTCTATTCATCTTAGATCAATTTATATCAATAAAATAAAAATAGATTTTTGTCGTTATCGAAGACGGAATTTTAGGGTAATAAGTGTAGTATGAATAGAACAAGAGAGGGGGAAATAATAAAGAAAAGGTTATCAAAAGCTAGATACAAGTTATCCACACCCTCTTTTTTTTTATTTCATTAATGGAATTTCGGTTATACCTTGGAATTTTCAGCACCAGAACGGTTGTGACTGTTGGAATGAGAAACATTAGTCCCAGCTGGAAAACTTCCTTCCCCGGTTCTCTCCTCGCGCACTTTGGTGAAAATGTTTGTGTAGTTCTCAGATGATGTTGGATCGCTCTCGTCCCAGTCACCGAATTTTGGGACGGTAGCACTCCGATCAGGCTGCCAGATCAAACATAAGAGATTATGTCATGTCATTGTGCAAGAACTAACTGGTTGTAGCGAAATATAGACAGCTTTTGTTCCCAAACAGAAAATTAAAACACTTGAACACCATTTTTCTCAAACACCCTAGATATAAAGTAAAAAATCCTTTGTTGAATCTATTTGTGCAATTAAACACATGAAGAAAAGGAAACAAGAAAAGGAAGCCTACAGTTTCGTTGCCCCGAGTAGCTGATCGTTGACGTGATCTTACAGGAGTCGAGGGAGCTAAACCATCACGATTACCCCCTTTTGGTGAAATTGAACCCCTTATTTCCCGTAATGGCGAAGATGGTACAGCACTTTTACCTTCAGTCCTTGGATGTTGTCGTGGATGGAGAGGTGAATTTTCTATGCTGCAGTCAGAACCTGTGCTATTTCCCACGGTCCTTTTAGATGAACTACTGGTGGTGTTATTGCCCTGACGTCGATGAAGAGGCGAGTTAAAGCTAACCTGGCCAGTTCTTTGACGGTCCAAAGGAGGATTGGGATGTCTTTTCATGTTACCGTCTTCTGGGCTCAAATCTTCTTGCACATGAATTGGCCTTAACGGTTGTTGACCCTGACTTTTCACTGATTTTATACCGTCATAATCCCGACCACGCAATTCTAAAGCATCACGGTGCAATGGAGACTCAGTTTGCCTCCTTACAACACCACCTTCTCCGATTTTCTGTTGCTCATAGTTTGACCTTACTGTGTCTGAAATCTCCTCCCGGTGAACAGATGGATCATTTGGATTCAACCTCTGGCTTTTAGCCTTTGTTGCATTGTCAAAATAGGTTGTATATGGGACATCTTCCCCACTATCCCACTTTCCAAATTCTGGTACTTGTGAACTCCGCTGCTGTAGGAGCAGAAGAAAATATCTTACTATGAACTATTTTCACTTGACCAAACCAGAAGCAAAGAAACTAAATTTTTGGTTCTGAACTGGAATGGGTTTCATGAGTAAAGTTACATTATTGGTAGATAGATATTCTAAAATTACATGAAATACCAATATGACCCTCCTTTCACAGGTATGATGATAATGTGATGAAAACACTGGGCAGTACTACAACTTTTTAATGAATTCCAGCAGATTCCTGCATCATCTTGTAACTTCTGACTAGGAATTTCCTAATAGTCCTTAAAAGCTCTACTGTAACAATTCTATGAAGAGGTTACAAAACCATCCATGAGAAGAAAAATGAAGGTAATCCATCAACATATATCGTTTCGCCATTGCAGCATGCAAATCTAATAGTAGAAATTTCTTTAATAATTGCAAGTCACATTCAGAATCTCACATGAAAGATGAGCTTGCTCATGGTGTAAAACAAGAGATAAATACCTTCCGGCACTTTTGGTCGATTTCTTCTCTTAAATTCAGAAAGAAAACCTAGGAACGAAAATGATCTATCATTTATGACAGGAGATACAGTCTTCTTCAGTGAATAATTAAAGATGAAGTAATTATTTCTTAAAAGAAATTTAGTGAGATATCATAATGTTTAAGAGGCCCAGTCATGGAAACAGAGTTAAAAGTAGCATGTTCAGGCTATTAATTAAGGTATGCTAGAGAAGGTTTCATGTCAGTTCAACACAGTCAAACCAATGACTAACCAACTCCTTAATCTCTGAACTTGAGACAAATTGAATATGATTATGCATTGCAACCTCCATAAACAAGCAGCACCCAAGAAGAGAGAGAGACAGAGAGAAATCAGACAAGCAAAACAGCAAACCAGCAAGAAAGCCTCCATAAATTCCAAGATTTACTTTCATAACTTTCGCATCACTGAGATATGCATATAAAAGCAAGGGCTATCCAGAAATGTGACCAAACATAGATCCCAACATTTTGCGACTTACAGATAACCACTAAATTCAGTATGCTCCATGGTTTCAGAAACAGTCAAAAAATGGAAGATACAAAACAACAAACGAAAACGAAGAAGAGATATTTGGGAACTCACAGCCATTAGCCTTCGGACAAGGATTAAATCCAGAAATCGTACTCCCGAACGAATTCGAGCAAGCTATTTTAACTTCTTCCAAGTCCCCACCTGCGCTGCAAAAGTTAAACAACGAAAATTATCCGAAACAGACAAAAGCGTACGGCCAAATATTATCACTGATAATAATAAACCAATTAAATAAAGAAAAGCAAACTTCCATTAAATTATTGACTGGCTCCAGCTACACGATTTGACTCTCAAGTCAAGATCTCGAAGTAGGACCGCGAGCACAATCCAAATTAGTTGTGAAATCCCTCTGGAAATCAGTTGATTGAGAATTCCAACACAGATCTGCAAATTTTCATTCCTTTTTTTAACGGAGGATTTTGACGAACAGAAATCAAATAAATTAGCGACGAGAAAACGATCCGAAAGCAACATTTTCATTTCAATCCACTTTCCGGTGCAAGATTTCTATCCTTTTCACTGTTTCACAGGATCTTTGGAGAAAGGAAAAAAGAAAAAGGAAAAAAATTTGTGCATCGAAAAATGGAGTTTGATGAGGTCAGGGAGATGACGAATGAGAACGACGAACTTGACAACTGGAGCACTGAATCGTGGATGATGACCCTTCTGTCGGCCCATTAATAGTGCCACTCCAATTTAATAATTAACAATTTCATATAAAAAATATATATTTTCTTTTTTTTTGGTGCTTATTTTGGTATATATTTTCATCTTTTGTAATATAGGTGTGTTGAGTAAATAGTTGTTTTGTTCTTAAAGATTATTTTATTTATCTTTTATTCGTTAAGAGCATGGTACTAAATGGATGACAGAATGAGATGTTATACCAATATATTTAGTAAATCGACATTTTTATAATATTGTCAAAAAATTGATAAAATATGAAAAATATTATACATAATATTAACTATTTTAAACTTATTTAGAAATATTGAAATGGTTATTTAGTAATTTAAATATTTTTTTTACGATTTTCTTATATTTATAATAAAAAAGTTTCTAAAAATATCCATCGTTACATTAATCATAATGGAATCATAATTAATCATTGTCCCTTTGAATCAATGAGTCACCCATGATGGTTATATCAAGAAATATGATTAAGTTCATAAACTTATAACGAATAATTCACGTACAATACACTATAACGCAACCCGTGCGTGACTTTGACATATTTGTTCAACAACACATTGTCTAACCAAATTCAATTCTTGTTCCTTGAAAGTTTCAATGTATGAGAACTTCCCCCCGAACACAATTTTACGACATATTTAAACTTGTTTCTTCCCAAGAAACGAAAATTGAGAAACATGAAAATTAAATCAAGAGAGGGAACATAACTTGGCCCTTCTAGCATGGTCATCACAAGAACCAAACATTTTTCCAAGCAAAATTTTCTCCCACAAAAAGTTTTAACTGTTTTCATAAATAAAGGATGGAAACAAGATCTCAACCCTAGAATTTCCTTGATAAAATTGTAAACCTAAAGAGAACATAATTATATCATACTGTACATTACAATATAATTTAAAAGTAAATCAGCTTGCTTACTTCAGTGGAAATGCATCTATTTCAAACGTCTGATTTTCTTTGTAGCATCAATTATGCTCTGCCTCATTTCTGGGTGTTTCAGATTTAAAAGTTTCTCAAGTTTAAGAGCTGCTTCATCGAAGAACTCCTCTTTTACACACAACTCTGAGGGAACAGCAAACAGCACTTCATTCACATCTTCCTCAAGTTGAAGGGAAAAGAGGTGACTAAATACCTGCACAACAAACACTTTTAAGATACAATTCGTATGACGAATATAGTCGAGAATGTTTATACTCACTCCTTTCATCCTCGAGACAACCATATCGTTGACGGTTGGAGATCGTGTGACCAGATTTACAATGAAAAGGCCCTGCTCGGAGAGAGCGTCTTTCACTGCCAGAAGAAATGGCTCTTCCACAAAATCAGCTGCTGGGCAGGTCATTCCAGAGCTGTACAGAACGGAAAAACAATGAGAAGGCAGAAGAGAAAGCTATGGTCTCCCAAGTTATGAGTCTACTGTTTACATTTTGTCCTATTCTGTTGTGCTCCATTATATATTTTTTAAGAAGAAGCAGAGGACCAATATGTTCCAAAAAAGGAAACAAAGACAGCCTAGGGGCTCAGGTGGAGGTCACCCTCAGGGTAAGACTTTCCAATCATACAAAATCATGACTCATGAGGAGGCTGAAATTACAAAAGAAGTTCTTCCAATTCAAGGGGCATTCTCGACATTATTCCTTGAGGAGGACTCCAACCTCCCACTAGTCAGATTAGTCAACATTTCTATGTTTCGATGCAACAACAAGATGTTAGCTGTTTGAACTACACTATTCCACCAAAAAAGTATTCTGCTGTAAAAGAAACTTCAAAAAACCGATTTGTTTCTTGTGAGGGAGAGATAAAAAAACTACAAATATCGCACAAACAATAGTCCAGAGTCCAGATCACCTTGAGTCTGTTGCATCCACGTCGATAATAAGTATGTCAATCTTCTTGTTTCCTTGTTCTACTTGAGAAGCGTTTCCATTATCAAGAACAGCAGTCGATGAATCATTTGTCCCAAAATTTCTGAATTCTCTAACAAACTGAATCCCATCAGCAATATGAACCTGAAACATCCACGGATAACCCCTACTACTCTTCAGATACATAGAAAGTGCAGTGTAGGAAAGTTTCAGGACAACAAATTTAGATGGCTCTAAATCAAACCAAGTCCAGCTACACACAAGTTGACGTTCATTACGTGGCAGAATATGTTTAGAAATGGCAATGCCATGTGAACTTGTATTCAAAGTAAATTGAAATTGTCTAAAAAAAACCCATGCAATTGAAGCTTTTTGGTCGGTGGCGGTTTAACATGATATTAGAGTTGCAGTTCTTGTATTTAAACTCCTATAGTGTCAATTTCTTCTTGATTAATATTGATAGTACACTTGTGGAGCAAAACTTTACAAATGAAAGAGGATCTGAATAATATATTATAATGATTAAATTTTTGGTCCACCGGTGGTTTAACACTCTCAACATCAAACATGAAACATCAATTTCTTATACGAGAAATCATGACTTAAACCAAAGTCATTGCACATGTATGCAGTATAGACCAGTAAGAAAGAGTATTTCTTATAACTACTGCACTAAAATTTTACATCAGCTAACAAAAAAGGAAAGGTGTAGCAAAAATACCTTCAAATCTGGATCCTCAGCAAAATCGAAGTGATCCCTTGCAAGATTGAGGATCATTGGATCCAACTCAACCACCTGGATCATTTTATACTCGTTACAATTTATGAAAAGGGCACCTTGTTTTCGAGGGTGGAGAGGAAAAATTACCTCAACGTGCAAAAAGCACATGCATGCATGGAGGAACATGGGCAGTAATCCTGCTCCAAGGCCAATGACAACAGTGTTAACCTGTCAATATTATGAACAGCTTGTTAAATTCAGTAGGAAGGGGAAAGAAACAAGAAGCAGCACACAGACGTGCAAGGCTTAGATAGCTCATAGCAGGAGAGGACTTAGGGAACTGGTTATGGTTAGATCAGCTTAAGATGGTAGGATTCTTCTTTTTTTCCATGAAAAAAAATTGCAGTTTCAAGATAGGACTACATCGTAGAAGGATCAAGACAGCAAACTTACCATTGGTCCAGCTGATGCTACACTCTCCAAATATGGAGAGATCAACATAAACCCAGAAATGATCCCTGAATGATAAGAACTTGCCAGGTACCCATGGTAAACCTTCATTTGGTCACTGAACTCTGTCACATTATATCAACGAACAGAAAAAAGATAGAAAACAGAGTGAGAGTGATGCAGGACAGCTAGAAACTTTTGTTGGGGCTATTTCAGGGTTAAACCTGAGAGTTGAGTACTTTAATGGGCCTCACAAATTTTGGGATCTGCAATTAGATACTAGAATATAGGCTACTAGGGAAAAGGAAAACATCACAAAAATAAAGAGAAGCTGAAAAGAGAAGGGAAAAACTGTAGGATCCACTACGTCAACCTAGGAACCTACCTATAGTTTTAGACTTGAATCCACGAGCCTCAACACAAAAATGTTTTGCGGTAGAGTGCCTATCGGACTTAAATTAGGACTTAGAAGTCCAATTAGAATAAGAAACTAGGCTCTAAGGTCGTTTTATATGGTTATAACTTTAAACTCGAATGAATTAGAAAATCCAGAAGCGAAAAAAACACAAAAACACAACGTAAAAGAGTAGAAAAGAATACAATATAAACGCTATCATTTGACTTCCTTTCAAAAAACAAAAGCTAGCATTTGACTCTAAATACTAAAATACTAATCCTACATTCAAACAATGAAAACTAAACCTGAAAGCTTAAACAAAGATAAATGTCAAATTGATAAATTATTGAATTTATTGTGCCTAACAAATTGATAAAAATGCAAGTCTACTTGATTAGCACACAAAAAAAAAAAAAAAACGGAGAATAAATTGTAACTCAACTTCTTATGTTACAAGAAAGGATGTAGGGGGTCCAAGAGGTACCTCCTAATAGCTTTCTTAGACCTTTTCTAATTAACGGGAATCCTAAATGCCTGTAGAAGTAACTAGGATTCTCTTGTTTGAGATGAGAATTGGATATAAAAGCCACCCTACAGCCCACAATACCTACCTAACCTTGGGAGAATCTTATTCCCATACATTTTAACGGGTTTTGTGAAGAAAAGAGAAACAAATTTTGGTTTCAGCAAATATGAAGATGAAAGGGAGAGAGATCCATTTTAATGGGTTTTGTGACTACCAACAATGCCCTTTTTCTATATATACTTCCTTATTTCTCTTCTTTATATACCCAAATTTAACACATGCATATCTGAGTGAGTTAAAATACGAAATTTTGTTGAATCTTCCCAAGTAGACTGCATTTGTTCCAGAAAATTTATTGAAGAAATGAGAAGTATCATTTCTATTTCACATTCTAACCAAAATAATCTAATCCTGAAAATTTAACTAAATGTCATGGTTTGTTACCCTTGTTCAGTCTCTTCTTTTCTTTATTTTTGGATTTGGACGATGAATGAGACTTTTTCCTGTCCATCTGACCAGAAACTTTCTCATGAAGTCTTTCCCTCGTCAACAAAGCTTCAGACTGCACCAAACTCTCTGTTCTTTGGAAAATAAGGCGACGAAATATCAAATCTCCAGATGGGAAAATGTGACTGGCATCACCATTTACATGTTCATAAATCACATCTTCAACTACTATTGAACCAGTTAATGAAGATGTACCCTACAAAGGAAACGTGAACAAGAGTTGAGGATAACGATGATATCAAACTTGCCAAGGCGATAAAAATATTTAGGACCTGGAAAACACAGTTGCGTTCCTTGATCCCATCACTTGCCATCATAAATCTGCAACAATAACAACCAATCTTCTATGTAAGCAAACAACAATTTGTCCGTGACATTGTCAAAGAATTAATCAATCACTTCGATAATATATACTCAATATAACTGCAACATAACTTCGTAATCAATTGTATATAAAATAATAAACTCTTCAAGCAATAAGAGAATCATTCCAATTGAACAGCGAGAAATGCATCCATTGCCTGATTTTGTTAAAATAATAATAATAATGATTAATTTTTTATTTTTAAATTAAATATTTTAATAATAAATTAATCGCATTTCAATGCCTTAGTCCAAGACAAAACAACCAAATATTTACCCCAGATAATTGACCATTGAAAAGTTTCAAGTGTGTTGCACAAGTTGCTGCCAAACGGTAGTATTTATCAAGTTCCATCCATGATACCACGATAGTTTAGAAATCTTGAGGCCTTAAAACTGTGGATATGTGTATAGCACTATACACACTTTATTTATTATAAAAAACAACATGATATATGAATAAAATAAAAGACTAATTACAATGAGACAAAGCTATAAGGCATCCTCTTAAAATAATAACTAAAAATAATTACCACAAAAATTTTGCCCAACTAAGTAAAAGTTGCTCCATTACTGGAAGTCAAAGTCTACATAAGTCAACCCATTTACAATTGAGGCAAAGAAAAACAGTACTTATATCTTCGAAAAGAAAGGGAGGAGGAAAGATAAGGGGGTTTATGTTACGTACGGAATTTGAGATCCACTGTCATCTTTGCCAGGTGCCAACTGTTTAACTAGGGGAGATAAATCTTTCTGAAAGTCCAACAAAGATGTGAAAAGTATTTCTAGTTAGCTATATCAGGTCATACCTAAACAGAAAAAAATTAAAGGAAAAGCAAATAGTACCTGAATAGCATCCATATTGGCATTAGATTGCATCTCATCTAATAGAACCTACAGCAAAAAAATGATATTTGGAATGAATAATAAAAATAGAAATGCGTACACAAAATTTCAATGTTATATAAACAAATACCATTATGAGGCGAGCTGCTTTTGAGCTTTCAACAACCATCCACTGGCCTTCTTCTGAAGAGAACAGCCATTCATGAGCTCGAGTCTGAGATATATCAGTTCATTATACACGTAAAAAGATTGCAAGGCCACATACATCAAAAGCATAAACAATCAAGAGAAGATTTCAACCATCCTCTTAGATGCATCACAGAATAATGAACAAACCATAGTAATGGAAGTGAACAACAAACATGTACTGTAATTTCCGTCCTCCCTGTAATTTTTGCAATATTCCAATGATCTACTAATTATATGCTTAAAAAGTCCCAAATAACAAATAAAACCTCATTTTTTCCTTTTTTCTGCATGGGGTAACCAGTGCCTTAGAATGTGCAGGGTGAGGATAGGCACAATAAATATTTCAACAGTTAGCCAGAAGTTTAATGCTTCATCAGACACTATAATAACAATTGACATATCATGTTCCAAATTCATTTTGATGTCAGATGGTTTAACAAAATTCAACAAACTTCTCCATAAGGTGACTTAACTTCTTTAAACTAGAATAAATTGAAGCTTTATATTATAAGTTAAATAGTTATTTACAATGTCTAGACGATTAAAAAATGTTTAACTTTCCGTGACAATATGAAGAGTGAATGAATGATTCTCTAATAAGATTAACTTTCACAAGGGAAAAAACCTTAGGCACTATAAAAACTCCACAATCATACAGGAATGGGCCAGACTGTTCCCGAGCGTCAAGAAGTACAGCTCTGTAGCTGAAAATGGAGGTCCCTTGTCCACCTAAAGTACATTGAACCCGACGGCCTTGGTGAAGCTTCCGCAAATCTCCCCTTGCTCCAAGCCGCAGGTCTTCGAGAGAGAACAATAAATCAGCACCACTTGAATACTCTTGGCGAATTCTATTCTCATTCTCAAGAGTTTGGACAAGTTCGCGAGTCTGAAAACAGATCAGTAGCCTCAGTCAAGCTTTAGCAAATTAGTGAACAGATCTTATATTATAGAGCACATACATTATGAATAATTTTCAACCAAATCAATACGTTGAAAGGTAATCACAGGATGATAGGTTCTTGAACAACATACCATTTTGTTGTTAGCAAATACTAGTCAATAAATTTGAAATTTTCAATACCAACTTCATGACTTGAGAAAAGCAGAATTCAATTTATCACCTGATTTCCACGGGAATCCAGCAAAGAAAAATTTAAAGAAGATTCTATCTGGTGCCATGTAGTAGATTCATTTTTCTCCACCACCACCATAAAGGTTTGAAAATTAGGCTTGCTCGGTGGTTTTTGAGGTATGACATGAATACTCATTTTCCATCCAAAACGGAACTTGGGGAAAAGCAAGCCTGCAGAGGGAGTAATGTGTTGGAATGTATTTTTAGTAGAAGCAAACAAGAAAAAAAATAGGTGACAGAATTTTTACCATGATCTTTGCCCCAAATAATATAAAACCAATTTGTATATCCACTAACGGTACAACCAGTGTTAAAAATGTCGATGTTGATGAAAATGTCGAGGTCCCGATTTTACGGACATGTCGATGTCGATGGATATTTCGGAAAAATAATGGAAATTGTAGAATTTGATGGAAATTTTTTGAATTAGCATAGAAAACTTGAATTGTAGCTTAATTAGCCTATAATTGATCACATTTAACCATTAAAGGTAATAATATAACCATGTTACTTATGAAAATGTCGATGTCGATGGAAATATCGAAAAAATATTTTTTTCTTTAATAAAGATGGATGGAAATTATTTGAATATGTAAAATGAACTTTAATTGTAAACTTTTGACTACTTCTTTTGTGTTTTCAATAATAGGATTCATTTGGAAATGAGATAATTACCGACTTGGTTTCCAAACACATTTTTAAATTCTACTTAACTCGTACATGTTTACTTTTTACATATGCTTCATATTTTGCTCATTTGAGCAACTACTTTCAAAACTTTCAGTCAAACTATTGTAATTTATATCAAAGTTATCAAGATAGTGCACTAGATCCTCCGAGATCATCTTTTTGGTATTAATTAAGTTACCTATTCTACTTCATGTTTCACCACTATTTGTATTTAATAATATTTTATTTTTTAAAAATTCTAAGATTATTTTAATCTTTATATATGTCAATATTTTACATACATTGTTCAATTGTGTAAGTAAGGACTAGATTGGATTAGAAATTATCAATAAAGCAAATTTCAAATCTTATTAGTTATATTTTATACAGTATTAAAATTCAAATTTTTCATTGAATAGACTAAGATTACAATCATCGAGGTTGTGAGAAATTATAGACTGTAGTGGCATAGTAGGAAGAAGATGAAAATAAAATAATATTAAAAGAAGAAGAGGCAAAAAAAAAAAAAAAAAACACGTCGACATTTGAGTTGACATGTCGACAACATGGGGGGAAAATCGACTTTTACCCCCTATGTCTATGTTGACATGTCTCCCGACATTTTGAAACCCTGGGTACAACTGACAAGATAGAAGATAGTACCTAGAACATGAGCTTCTGCCAAAGTGAGACAGATAAACTTCCCTCCTGGTTTTAGAACTCTTTTCACCTGTAAAAACAATCCGCTTAAGTGTAATCAAAATAAACATTTTTGTCTTTTTTATAGGAAGTAAAACCAAAATAAATCGATTAAAATTAACCAAAATAAATCGATTAAAATTAAATCAAACTATAAGGTAAAGACAGCCCAAAGAACTGAATGGTACTATTTTGTTCTTCAAAAAATAACTTTAATTTAGTACCTCAGATAAGTATTGACTTCCCAGCTTAGTACCAACTTCTGGCTCCATTAAAGCATCCAATCCACCTTTATCAACTACGGCATCAAATGTATTATCCATGAACTGTAAAGCACTGATTAGAAAAAAGGAAAAGTGCAACCTATGGAGAAAAGAAAATGAACAGCACCCAATCCACCTTTACCATGGGAGTGAACTATGGCCATTAGCTTGCTTACAGAAATTAACAATTTTTAAAGAATTAAGATGCCTTTTAACACGTATAATATAACTCAAATTTCAAGTATTGTATTCAAATCCGCAGATAATTTCTGGAAAATGTCGTTCAAGCTTCAACTATTTGTTTTCCCAAGTTATATCTAAAACATATTTGATCTTCTCCATGCTTTTCAGGTCGATAAATTGTTCTCACTTGTTTTTTAATACTACTTCCTAGGTCCTAAAATAAATGTGAAGAAAATACCGAAAAACAGCATAATGCTGCTAGTGTTTCTTATCATTTTAAAATCCGACAATTAGCGGATGCCAATGTACCTAAAATGAATTTAATAAAGATGACAACGTAGTATAAACTTCCTCTGGTTTCATTTTAACAGAATCCGTGTCTAACGAGCCACAATTTTGAAAATGTCAATATCTTACAGCTCGTGGACAAGATAAATTTTGTTCGCAGCAGCTCTAAAATCAATTCCCCACCAAAAATTAGCGTCGACTGTGTAGCCAACAACATCCTAATTCCTACAGCAACAATGCCAAACACGCACACCAACACAAAAACTTTCCACAATAAAATTCATCTCCAAGAGCTTAGATACCTGCATAGTCGTCATATCCATGACGCGCCACCGCATATCGGGGCGTTGCCTCACGTTTCGGCGCAGCATATCGGAGATTGCAACTTTAGAGAAATCGATGTTGGTAATGCATCGAAAGCCGGCGTCGTAGAGCTGTTCGGAGAGACTGGAGTTGCCGCAGCCAGGAACGAGAATCTGGGGAGTTAGGGATTGGGAGAGGCTGGGAAGGTGGGAAATTAGTGGGTCTTTGAGCTCGGGCCACTCGGCATACCACTCGAAAGCATCGCCATGGCCGCGAATGGTGAAGAAATTGTCCCAATTCTCCTTGCTGGTGAAGTCTCCGAGAGTTTGGAGAATATCGGATTTCCCCATGGCTGTGCTTTCGCTCTCGAGCTCCTTTCCGGCGAATGCTACGGTCTGCTGCAAGTTTACGCTCCTCGCCAAGGGTTTTGGCAGGGGATTGGCGCCACCACCGTAAAAAGGTAAAAAATAATCAAAATAAAATTAAAACTCTCGTTTTTTTTTCTTGATTTATGTACAATATGTTTATTTTGATTTATTTTAAATCGTGTATTTTTTATGCTTTTGTTCCATTTATCTAATTTCTCCGGCTCATAACACTTCATTTATAAATTAATAAAATTCGTGTTGAAATTTTGTAGATAGGAAATAAATTGATCACATTTTAGAAATACGGAAACAAAATATAGATGTTCTAAAAAATACAAATATTAAAAGCACATAGACTAAAATTAACGTTTAGAAACTCATGATGGTCCCACACCTTAAAATTAACTTTTATGTATTTCAAACACTAAATATTGTACGGTCAGGTAGCTGCCTCATAAATAAGTCGAGGTACACACAAATGCGGACAATCATTGATATTAAAAAACAATAACGTTTAGAAAGTATGGCTAAAATAAACCAAAATAGTAGTTTAAACTTTTTAACATTACATCACATTTACCTAAAAAAAAAAATAATTTTATATCATATTAACCAACAAGAGTTTAACTCATAATAATTACGAGTATCTGACGAACAGGTAATAAGTTCGAATGTTCTACCCCACTTATCATACTAAAAAATTCTATTATATCAGATGTACATGTCCTACTAATCACATGTTACACATCAAAAAAAGGGAAAAAAGGCACTCAATATATTTAAGTTGACTTTGGAACAGAAATAGGCTTCAATTTATTCCCCAAATTATCTGAAAAAATAAAAGGCAAAATGCACAATTTAATGTCGGTTTTATTTATCTAAATCCATTTAACGAGAGCGCGTGGCAAGCACGTGAGCAGCGTACAGCACACGCGGCATTAAGGCGCTTTAAAGCCGGATTCGATTCCATTAATCACGAGCCGATGACCGGAGCAATATCAACCGTCGGCGTTTATAATCCAACGGCCACAAACGGTTTTCATCATCTTCCCTTATATCTTCTCCACGCGCTCATCGTCCCCTCCCTGAGTAGCCCTAATTGGTTCGGACTCTCAGCTCAGATCTCTTCCGATCGCTTCGCACCACCGATTGAGAAACCTCAGGAATTTGAATTTCTAAGACCGAAGAATGGCTGTTCTCTAGCTTAGATCCGGTATTGAAGGGTCAGTAGTTTCTTCTACCGCTAGATTTTTGTTTTCTTTCAGTTTTGAAGTTTTTACGTTTTAAATTTTCGTTTGGTTCTATTGTTCCATGATTGATGCCTCTGGAGACTGGAAATGTTTCTCCGTTTCACGATTTTCTGGAGGGCTTGTGATTGAAACAAAAATTGATTCTGCTGTTTCTGAATTGTCCCCATAAATCCTTGGAACGGTCATAGTGTCATTGGGCTCAAGTTAGTTCACTTTGGACGTCTATTGTTTTCGCGGTAAAGAATTGAAGAAGTGATGTATGAAAGCTGCAATTACGTTTTCTTAGCTTTGTGCGATTTAGGCTTGGTGGTTTCTGTTATTGTAAGTAAAGTACAGACCATGGAGTTGGTTGTCATGGTATTATCGCTTCGGGCTTCTTGACTCGACAAAGGGGTTTATCAAGCTGGAAAACATTTTTTTGCAGGCCTTTCACATCAACGTGGGGTTTAAGTTGGTCCTCATTCTCATCCACAAGAAATTGATTTACCAAGTCATAAGAATCCATGATATTTCAGACAAGTTTCCTCACCAAATACATATTTCCTTACCATGTTTCAGTATTTCATTGGATCGAAAATGGAAGCAATTTCTACCTTGACTTGTATGTGTGTTCTTTTGTGCTCTGACTTATTACTTACTAAGAAATATGATTGCAGGTTTATGAACTCTGATCCATCCTAGCAGGCAACTCAAGTATTATTACTGGCATACTTAATTGTAGAATGGCAGATACAATATCTAGTTTCTGGGGTCCTGTCACATCTCCTGAGTGGTGTGAAAAGAACTATGTTTACTCTTCTTATATTGCCGAATTCTTCAACACAGTATCGAATATTCCTTGCCTCATTTTAGCACTTATTGGACTCGTAAATGCTTTGAGACAAAGGTTTGAGAAGAGATTTAGCGTTCTTCACATATCAAATATGATCCTTGCCATAGGAAGCATGTTATATCATGCCACCTTGCAACGAGTGTAAGTCTTCTTCCTTTATATTGAAGATATAAATTTCTAATGTGGAAGTTTTTGGCTTGGAATTTATCTTAAACTGCTTGGGTTGAAATGTCAAAATTAACTGTAGAGGTTATGAGGAAAAAAAAAAAAGAAAAGCTTGAGTTGAAATGTGTGTGATTAAATTACAAAATATCATGTATATGAAGGACCAAAAATTTTGGATGGGTATAAGGAAAATATTGGCAAACAACAGCTTGATCCTTGGCCATGTTGAATAAAAAATTATTTAGGACAAAAATTCTCTGTAAGATATTCCAAATTGGGTTAGGGAGAAGTGAAGGGAAGAAGGAAAGCAAGGAGGGAACTGGAAGATAATGATAAAATAGCTTTGTTAGGGAACTCTTTGTTTGCTCTTTCAATTGGTCAATGGACAGAAAAAAATGATTATTAGGCGTATAGGAAACTAGAAAACAATTGTATCAGTCTGAAGAAGTTGTATTTTTCTCAAGAGTAATGATTTGTTTATCTGTATGAAATTGTTTTAGTTTGTACTAAAAAGAGTTGGAACAGTCTCAGTATTACATTGATAATTGGAATTTATTTTCTCATGGACAGTTGTTCTTGTCCTCTCATCTTTGATTTTCAATTCTTTTTATGCGATAGGAGTTGCAACATTTTATAATTTCCTTCCTCCTTGAGCCTGAGGTTTAGTGCTGTATATTGATCAGAGTGTCCTGTGAAATTAAATTGGTATATTTCGTAAATAGATGAAGTATTTATAAATATCTTACAAACGCTAACTATAGCTAGTGGATGCACAACTTCATTATGCCATCATATTTATGAATATTTTCAGCGTTGGCTTGCATGTTCTGCCAAATCTCCATCCATCATAATATCTGTGTCGATTCGACAATGAACTTATTTTCAGACAACAGCAAGGTGATGAAACACCAATGGTATGGGAAATGCTCCTCTATATCTACATCCTTTATTCACCAGATTGGCACTACCGGAGCACGATGCCTACATTCTTATTTCTATACGGTGCTGCCTTCGCTGTTGTTCATGCAATTATACGTTTTGGAGTGGGCTTTAAGGTACATTATGCAATACTATGTCTACTCTGCATCCCTCGAATGTACAAGTACTACATTCACACGAACGATATACACGCAAAGCGGCTTGCAAAGTTATACTTGACAACCATCTCTCTTGGGACCGTTTGCTGGCTTTTTGATCGCTTGTACTGCAGAAACATCTCTAGCTGGTATTTCAACCCTCAGGGTCATGCATTGTGGCATGTCCTTATGGGGTTCAATTCTTATTTTGCAAACACATTTTTAATGTTTTGTCGTGCTCAACAACTAGAGTGGAACCCGAGAGTAGTCCACTTTTTGGGATTGTTTCCATACGTGAAGGTTCAAAAACCGAAGAACCAGTGATCGAAGTCATGTCTTCGAACGAAACGACATTCTTTGTTCTTGAAATGGGTTTCTGGTTTTGGCTGGTTATCATCAATAGGATTAGACATTCTTTTATCCCCTCTTTGCCCGTTTATTTTCCTTCTCATATGGATGTAAATCATACTCAGAATGTCTGTGCCATTGATTTAGATTGGGTTTATCTGAAGGTGTAAACTCGTGTTTCGTCTTACTCTTTTTTCACAGCAGTTTTCGAGTTTTACTGTTCTTGTAGAAAATGTCTTATAGGGAATTTTTCATTGAGTTTGCAATAGAATTGTCTTTCAAAGGCAGATGATGGGCTTCACTTGAACTCCTTAAAGAATGACTGTGGCCCATATTGATGCTACTAAATTTTTATTCCAGTTGTACTTGTAACTAACATGATTATTATTGTTCTAAATATTTGTCGACATGTTGACATTTCTGTTGACATATCCATGTTTCCATGGATTCGACATTGATATTAGGGGTGAATCAACATTGATATTAAGGGTGAATCGACATTTCTATTATAGTACAAGAAAATCGACAAAATATGAAAAATATCAACTAAATGTGACTAATATATATATAATATTAATATTAATTATTTTAAACTAATTTAGAAATGAGAAAATGATTATTTGTTCATTTAAATATTTTTTACGATTTTTTAATTTTTCTAACTTTTACATAAATATCCATCGACATTAAYATTTTATCAATATTTCCATAAAATTAAGATATCGACATTTCCATCTAAAATCTTGATTATCATTCAATCTCTCTTTTTCCAACCAGAGTCTATGCATAAATGATTAATGGTCATAATGTTAGCTCAGTGAAACTAAAAAAATATATATTATATCATTCAGATTCAAACCAAATAAAAGGTGAAGATTCAAATTAAAGAAGAAACTACTGCTAATGGCATGTGCTTAACCAACCTGATTGTTGAACCAAATTCTCAGATTGGGTACATGTAAAGGGGAAAAAAACTTTGAAGACTTAAATATAGGACTCGTTTGCCAACTTGAGTCGTACTTTCGATTTTGTTTTTATTTTTATTTCTCATTTCTTTTATTAAATAAAACTTCATTTGATAACTATTTATAAAAAAAGAAACAGAAATATGTTTTGGTCATTATTTCTTTGTTTTTTTTCTACAAAATTTTAAATTAAAAAGGAAAAAAAAAATATGAAAGTTAATTTTTAAAAAATAAACCTTTGTTATATTCAATATTTGATACTTATAATATATTTAGTCAAGAATAATAAAAATAATACTTTTATGTATGACAAAAATAAAAGACTAGAAACGGAGGAAAGAAAACGAGACCGAAAATTAAAAACGAGAAACAAGGAAAAGAAATGTTACCTCAGGCAACAATTATCTTATAAATTGCTTCTAACATGAAAGGTAAGAATTGAAAAAGATGTTGAAGTAGTTTTGATTCAAGGTAAGAGTAGTACTCTAAATTAACTCAGCAAAGGGAACTCAGAGAGGGGTGGTATTGACAATGGCGTCTAATAGCTTCCCTTCCAACTTGTTTTCATCAATCCACAACGAACTCTGCCGCCTTATTAGCTCGTTCTTTTCTTTCTTCTTTTCTTCTCTTCTCTTTTCCATCGTTCTCCAATGCTCAAGCTTCTCGCTTCTTTCTTTCATCTGCATATTGCATCGATCAAATCACATTAGATGCTTGTACATGTCCACGGATAAAAGGATACCATCGTATCGAATCAGATGTACACCCCTTTTGAAAGAAATGTAAGCAAGATAAGAAAACTAGAATGCAATGCCCGCTCCTGAAACAACTAAATAGTGTTTAACCTTTTGAACTAAATGATGGAAACACATTTCTATTAGTTGTGATCAGAGGAATTACAAGGGCCGAGGGAGAATTAGAGAACTCCCTGATCTCTCCTAAACAGTCCTAGATACAATAGCCAAAAACAAAAGGTACCCTCTACCTCACTATTAAAGGTGTATATAACCTTAAACAAAATACCTATACTGCTCCCTCTATACCGTAAAACTGGTCCCTCCCTTCTAAATGGAATTCTTCCTTTTTCTCTGCCATACTCACACGTCCCTCTTTCTCGAATAAACATTCTTCACCCTAGGTCTATCACTAAATTCCTTCTTTGGGAAGTAATCCGAGACTGATCAATCCAATTAAAGGTCTCAAGCCGACTGAAATCGTGGTTCTGGGACGATATAGTGTGAAATTCTTGTAACAAACAGATTGGCCCGTGTTCACATTGGCTAGGTACTTTCTATTTTGAAAAATATTGCAACAAAGCATAAACTAGCCGTTACATGTAAGTTATGACTATGGAACGTCAATAAGATAAGGTCCATAACTATAAGATGTAAGGTATACATGTTTACATACAGACGATTTTAATGACATCAAGATCTAATAGATCATAACAATAATCAGAAACTGAAAGTAAGGAAATTTGACCTTGCAAGTTTATTTTGAATACGGTAACTCAAAGTTGCAAGAAGTTTACTTGTTATCTTTTGAAAAAAAGTGAAGTTTATGCTCCCACGGACTGAGATGGAAGGCGGTTGCTGTCAAATTAATTGGAGAATTTCTTCTTAGAACTAAGGGTACAGAGGTACAATCTATAGTGTAGATCTTATTCAAGTAACGTTGTAATTGGCTCTTTGCATGGGATTCTAATGGGCTGGTTCAAACAATATTGAAAAAATGTAGCTCTTCTTGCTAAGAAAGTTGTAGACGATTTCTATACAACCCAACACCTTTTGCTAAAAAATTACAGAGAGCAAAAGTTCCCAAGAGCCAACCAGGTTGGCAAGGACTTGGGATCTAACTGGCTTTAGAGGTCTCAAGCTGGAAGCAAGGACTTGGGATCTCACTGGCTTAGAGGTCTCAAGCTCAAACCTTCCGGTGAGTTTAATACCAGAACCCTTGGTGTCTCTCGGGTCTGGGTCGCCTACCCCTGGGTATAGAGGAGAAGCTTCGTCTCTCAATTATCAGAAGAAAAAAATAATAATAATACACATAGAGAGCAAATAGGGATTGATAACTCCAGTTCACCAAAAAGTGCAATTACAGTAGGCATCAGAAGCCTTATGCATTCTATTGCTAAGACCAATAGCCACGTCGAAAACTTTCTTGTCTTCTCAGTTGGGGATGTTTTGCCAGTTAAAATTTGGAAGAATATTTGGGAGAACCCCACGCATTATTTTCCCCAAGATAATACAGGTTTAGAGATTAGAAATCTTTGAAAATGAGGCTAATGGAAACTGAAGGAATTCAGATGAAAAATAAGTGGAACGGTGGTTTTATCTCTTTCAAAAAGGATTGCTACAGAAAGTCCCTCTGTTGTTGGATAAATTAGATAAATCCATTTGTCAATATCTTAACCCAAGGATAAAGTAGAGAGCAAATTTGTAAGAGAAGCCCATTCATGGATGTCATCCTCTAAAAGGTGTCTTTTAAAGTCAAGGTCCCAGTGGAGGGGTTCCAACACGATAGATAAAGCCAGATTCCAATTAGAGCATTTGAAGATTCTCGGAAATTCCTTTGAAAGAGGGCCCATTATCTATCTAAAAAGAATCTAGAAGCTAGTAGAATGCCAATTACCAATCGAGACACTGATCTTCACGAAATCAGATCTTTTTGTTTGAGAGACGAATGGAAAATGCCTTTCGGGTAGAATTTATAAAGGTATAAAATTCCTAACCTAAGGCCATGATTAGTTATGTCATACTTTTGCCACAATAATCTTCTTTATAGACCTTTTTCTTTTTAATAACGGGGAGTCAGAGCTTTGCTACCCTATACCCAGGGGCACCCACACCCACTCCAAGGCTCAAACTCTGGAGACATCAAGAATTTTTGGTATTAAACTCACTAGAAGGTTCGAACTTGAAACCTCTAAGCCATTATGACCAAGAGACCCCAAGCCGGGGGATCATTCTTTATAGATCTTTGCAGTTCTAAAATTGTTTTGTTCAATAGTCTCTTCGTTGATTCCCAATTTTGTTGGAGATCAGAGAATTTACTTGGTCACTGAGACCTTAAGGTTTGATTGGTTTGATTCCTGAGCTGGCTAAGAAGGAATAAGCAAGGAGTTTGCAATTGGTAAACAAAGAACACAAGAAATTTCTTCAGCATTGGCTAGAGGTTGTGATTTCCAAGGAAAGCCAAAATGGAGGCAGATAGGTAAAATCAAGATTTTATAGATTATTGATTATTTGGACTAAAAACCTCACTTTTTATTTTAAAATTTAGTTGTACACAATAATTATCTTATTTCTATGGTTGTTTAAGTAGGTATAAGTTTTTCCATTAAGTGACTTTTAAGTTGTAGAAAAAATCTTATTTTTAGTTTTTTTCTTATGAAAGGGCGAGCCAACTAACAAACACTAATATTGAGAAGGGGATGATTGGTTTCTTCGAAAAACTCCATCCTAGGATGGAAGGTCGTAGATGGTGCCCAAGAAAGCCTCTTTGAGCTCGGTTTTGGGGAAAACAAATAATGGCTGAACATCCTTTTGAAGGTCTAAAGTTTTGGCTTGCAATGAGAAGTTTAGGCAATATGTCTGTCTCTAGGCCCCGAAATCTTTTCACGGTTCTTTAGAATGTTGTGGCAATTCGTAAGGAAGGACATTTTGAAGGTGATACATGATCTTTTTAAGAATAGGATGTCAAATGCTTGACTTGATCAGACTTTCATCTGTTTTATTCCCAAGAAATCTCAAGCTACAAAAGTTTCAGATCTCAATCCTCCAAGCTTGACTACTGGTTTGTATAAGATATTGGCCAACCGCGGTATTCTTTTTCAGAGAATCAAGCATGTGCTCTATTCATAGCAAAGGAGGAAAAAAGGTAAAAAAGCAAAAGAAATCCAATGAAGATATATTTAAGCAACTGCTTTGTAGATTGTTCTTACAGACGATCTTCTTCTTAGAATGATACCTTCCAACATCATATATTTGTGGATAGGTTGTATCTCTTCAACCTTTTATAACAAGTTTCCCTATTCCTATTCAGGAAAAAGTAAAAAAAAAAAAACATTTTGACAAAGAACCCCAAAAGGAAGAAATAAAAAGAATAAGATCCAACAAGTCCCTATTACTTCTCTAAACGCCTTTAAAAGTCCTCCAATTTCTTTGGACCCAAATTTCCCAAACAAAAGCACAAAAGCCATTGACCCAAGGAATCTTGCCTTCTCTTTTAGTCCGTTGTCACAAAGACTTTGATAAACAAAATCTTCACTTCTACTAGGGTATAGACTCTGATGGTTGAATATTCCCAACAAAATCCATAAAAGCACATTGATAACAAGAAATTCAGTAAGAAGGCTACAATGTTTTTGGAACCTTCTTAAGGAATCAGGAAATGATCAGGGAATTCTTTCTACACGGCTGGTAGATGACCATATTCTTCCACATATTTAATACAATACAGTAGGAAAGCTTTCGAAAATGGTAGTATGTGGAGCTCAGCTAAATAACACAACAACTAAGAATTTGGTTGGCCACCCGAGCATAGTTGAACTGACTAAAGCATACATCATTGACCAAAATATTGAAGATTCAAATCCCCACTCCCACATGTTGTTGAACCAAAAAAATTAAGAATTTGGTCCAGACTTTCTCCATCTGACTAACAATTAACACACCTAATAGGGGCTTTCTCAAACTGGGGTTATTTCAGTAACTCCTTGACGTCGTTATGACCCTTGGGGAGTCCATTTTAGTTCAAAAGCACCCAACAGTCACTCAATGAGCACATAAAATTAAGAATTCCCCCATTAAATTACCAAAATCGAACTAAGAGAAGCATCAAGTATCTAAGCAAAAGATAAGACAAGAACACCAGAGAAACACCATTAACATTGATTGTACTTATCCCAATTATTAAAAGGAAAATTAATAGAGCTCTCTGGATCCAAATACATTGAACGCAACAGATACATTTCCAACCAAATTATTTCCAATCAAAATCTCCAAACATTCATGTCAAGAAGTAAATATAAGATGATAAGGAAGCCACTTACCAAAGTCCGTCGGAACTCTTCGTCGGCGACTTTCCGCTCTTCGGCTCGGGCTTTAGCCGCTTCGGCTTTAAGCTTCTTGCGTTCCTCATTGGCAACCCTAAGCGCCTCTCTCTTAGCTTCGTCCTTACGCTGATTTTCGAGTCTCAGTAGCTCAACCTCCTGGATGTAATTCTTGCGCACCTGCTTCACCTGCTTGGCGTAGTCCCTACGAAGCTGCACGAGCTTGGCCTGCGCTTCCTCGGGGTCTTTCGGCGGCTCCCAGCTGCCAACGAAGGCGTTCGCCTCCAAGAATTTGTGAGTCTGCTGGTGACTGTTATGGTGAGCGGATTTGGTGGAAGTGGAGAAGGAGCGTAGAAGGTTATTGGAGAGATTGGTTGCAGAGCGGATCGCAGAACGAGACGAAACCGCCATTGCCGTCTGAAATGGTGTAGAGGTAGAAGAGGCACAAGCGTCTGGGCTTGACAAGGGAAAGCTTGTTTTACTCTCTGCTCCGCTGCAGTGAATATATAAACGACACATCTTTAGTTATACGACATGTCGTTGAATTCAGGCCATTTGAGAAGGACTAAAAATTATTCTCACATTTTAAAAAGAAATTCATGGTTATTGTTAAATTATTTTTTTATTTACTAAAAAAAAGGTTAAAAATACTATTTCCAATTATACTTTGTGACTTGCTCTGTATTTTCAAAATTTTAAATTTAATCACTATTTTATCAACAAATCTGAGGTTAAAATATTATTTTTTTGGCTGATGTACTTTAAAAATATTTATTTTGGTCTCTCTAGTTTTATCTTTAATTTATTTTAGTCCCTAAACTTTTAAAGTATTCGTTTTAGTTCCTGTACTTTTAAAAAATGATTATTTTGATCTCTATTTGTAAAATTTTAATATCAATTCTACACCTATCATAAACGATTTGATATAAGATTGTAGTTTTATTTCAAGAAATATATTGAATGTTTGTGATAGAAAATATGAGATTAAAAATAAAACTAACCAAAATAAATTATTTTGAGAAATAAAACAATTTGTACCAGTACAAGGATAAAAACGAACATTTTAGAACATTTTATCTCATGTTAAAGAAAAACTATTTTAATCTTATATTTTGGACTTGCTCTAAATTTTGTCACTGTTTTAATCTCTATTGTTCGTTTATAATTATATTTAAAAATTTTAGTTTCCATCAGACTTCCGTTCTTTTAAGGAAAATAATTATTATTATTTTGACATCATTTTAATATTTCATTTTAAATGAAAATTATTATTAATATTTATTTTGTCAACATATTCATATTTTTTAATAAAAATTATTATTATTATTTTGTCAAATTACATAAAAAGTAACTTCAAACCACCGACAATGAGAACTTGCCTTTAAAAAAAGAAAAACTAATTTTAAGTTTTATTAAAAGTATGAAAACTACTTAAAATTATAAAAACTAAATTTTAACATAAGTACATAGATCAAAGAATTGGCTGGTCGAATATGTTGGTAAATCTTTAAATGGAATTTACACTTTATTTTCATAATTTTAAGGACAATATAAGTTAGTTATATTAGAACACTCATTATAGTTAGATTTTAAAATACTATTTTAACTAAAAGCCAAAAAATAGCTAAGACTAGTTTTGAGGCGTAACAAATAGTGTAAAGTGAGTTATTTAATTCATTTTCAGTTACCATCCCAAATAGCATTAGACTAATATTGCCCTCAAGAAACAATGGACGTTTGATTACATAGCTAAAAAATCACAAATATTCTATACTTCAGCAGTTAAAAAATGGATTTCTTGGGACGAACACATCATTAATATTTTTCTTTAAAAAATATTAATAATAATTAAAAAAAGGTTTTTACTTATTTACATATAGATTACTGCTAGATGGACAAAAATGAAAGAAGCTTTTACCAATGATGCTCACAAATGAGACTTGATAGCAATCTGCTAAGACAAATTAAAGCTTCCATTGATTTAGAGAAAACCATGCATAGAAATCCAGACGCCCGGCGAACTGCATCGAGATATTCTCCTTAAAAACCGAAGCACCGACGCACGGCATTGCTTGTTTGCTGCATTTCCCTGCAAAGCAAAACCAAGTCTCCAGAAGGATGGAAGAAGAATTCCATTTCAGGAGGAGGAGACGATGGAGTATTCCCTCTGCTGTTTGGGCATTATAACGGCTAGTTGGAGCTTGCTTAACTGACATGATTTAACTGGGTTCCTAAAAACCGAAACCCGGGCGACATTATTAGGTGATAACAAAACATGTGCAATGCTGTATGATTCGCCTTTTTCGATTGCAAATTGCCATTCTCTCACAGATATGTCGAACCAATCTTTCCTTGCAGATCTGGTTGATTTCACTTCAATGTACTGTCTGTTATTCTCGTCATCTCCTATGATTATATCGAAGGGGAATCCGGTTTCAGATTCCTCGTTGACCCACTGTACTACTGTGTCACTGAACTTTTCGGTTAAGTATTTGAAGGCAACATGCTCGCCAAGTCGCCCGGTTACCATTGCCTGTACTGGATTGGGGGTGCCAGTTCTAAGCTGATTTCTCCAAGAAAAGCCACGTGAGTCGGGTTGAGAACCAAGGGCCTCAGGATCAACATCGCCATGGCTGTTAAGCTCTCCAATGTTGTCACCATTGCTGGGAAGGATTGATGCTACCGACATGGCCGATGAATCATCTTCAAAGGTCCACTCTGTATCTACTGAAACTAGAGCCGAGTTCTCTGTTTGCTTGTCAATACCTTCAAACTCATTTTCCACATATGGGTTGGAGTTAGGCAGTGAACTTGCTGGTTGTGTCTTGAAACCATTTTGACGAGCGTAATTAAAACCCGGAGCAGTTTTCCAATCGACAGGCGGCCAATTTCTCGCCTTATTTTTAGACTTGGAATACGATCCTTGGTCATTTGGCACGGGAGGGCTACAACACGTTTGAAGCAAGTTGTGAGTCTCAACCCATGGAGCGAAAGATGAAAGGGACCAAACATGTTCTTCCTTGGGGAGTGTCGTCACCTTCTGAGTATTCAAGATGAAAAACTCGGTTTGCTCTTCGGTAGAGCCCGACTCGGCCATGGTAGTGATCATGTGAAGGAAGTTGGCCAAATGAAGCTTGGGAACACCGTTAAATAGCACGCGAGAAAACTCCATAAACAAGGAATGAGAATCTGAGTCTTGGATTGTATATAAGATATTGTCCTGCAAAAGCATAACATGAGAATTCGTTTAAACGAGGACATGGATATTTATGCAGATTCAACCATTTTCTTTCAATCAGAGGAGTATTTGATATCCGAAAACGGCTAGAATTGATGCATTACCAGCAATGGTTCCTAGACTACATTTTCATATCAAGTATGGAATCTATTTGCAAAATAAGTGGATGAATGACTAAATTACCTGCAGAAGACAGCTACATGGAACCTGTTCTTCAGAAGCGTGTCCAAAATTCTTTATAACATTTCTAAAAAACAGCTTTTCAACAACAATTACTTGCAGACGACTCAGGATGTCGAATCCAGATTGCTTGAGCTCTGCATATTTGTCAGGGTGCATACTATACATATAGCGCTGAGCAAAAGGAAGAGCCCAGTTCATTAATGAAGTTTTGAAGCCAGAATCCCTCAGACCATAATATTTTGCTTCGCGAGTTACAATCTGTGCATTAAAAGTAATTCGTTAATGAAGATGATAGCTATCTATTTGCTCCCAAGGCAAAACAAACACGGCCAGTTCGAGGAGTTCTGAGGGCTTGTTAGCATGCAGTTGATTAGATCATTACTTTTTTTTTAGATCATTACTTATTTGCAAAGCAGATATCATTTTGGGCAGATTTAAAAAGCCATTGCCATATAAACCTAATGTTCATGCTAGTAACTAGGAACTTGTTCGACATACCGTTATATTTCAAAAAAGAAAGGGTAAAATTATCTAAATACTACTTTTATTTTAGCTTAAGCAAAAAGTCTATGATCCTATTTTTAATTTGGTCCCTAAGGTACATTTTTATTAGAATCCTTTCCATGGTTACAGGTATGTCGTGGGTAAGAGAGGCCTACCTCAGAAAGAAGAGGAACACCTAGAACTTTCAAGAGGTTAGAGAGTTCTGTCTGAAAAACCTCTGTTTTACTATTGCTGATGTCACCAAAGTACACAAAATGTATTTTGTCCACTTTCTTACATTGCTGTCTTAATCTCTTGTCATCACAAAAGCAAACAATGCCAGTGGAAGGACGAAGAGAAACCCATTTATCTTGTTCGGTGGGAAGGACCGTGAACTCGGAGCTTCCTATACATTCCTTCAGATAAGCCATATCTTCAGAACTCAGGAGTCCTGATTTTAGTCCATCGGCCCATTTTAGAAGAACTTGCAGTACCTAATACATGAAAGAAGCACTTCAGTTGCCATCAGCTAAAATTATTTCAAAGAAAATAACATCTATTATTGTAATGACTTACGACATCACTAGCTTGTGAAGGCAAAGCAACAGCTGATAACTGTTTCAAAATCTGAAGGTAGCTGCAGAGAGGAGGATATTCATGTATTCCACATTCGTCGATAAAAAATTTCTTAAGCCCTTGATAAATATTGCATAAAGTCTTGATTAGGGGACAATCAACCATATTTGCCGAGCTCCACTGAAGATATACATCCTTAATTTTGTCAAAAGATCCAATGGGATCGTGCCAATATACTTCTTCAGGAGATAAAAATACACCAGACACAACATCCTCATGCCTAGAGTCAGCTACAATAGGAACAAATATAAAGGGCCCTGAACGGAATTCCTCCACAATTTTCTGTTTTGATGCAGCCATCTCATTCCACAAGAATGTATAGAATGTACACATTTGTGATATGCTGACATATCAAAAAAGACGATATAAATGGACAGTTCTATACAAGATCAAACAAAGTCAAGCATATAATTGGAGATATTTACAAAGAGAAATTTGCATATCTTGCACAGAAATTATTAGGCTGAATTATATATGTACTGACCAGCTTACAAAATTTATTATTTCCATGAGACAACCACATGAAACACTAAATTTCAGGTAGCCCATGAGATACCAACAATCTATTTTTTGCTAATTCTCTGGGGTTCTATGAAATGTTACGAGATTGGATGTCAAGAATGAAAAAATATCCAGGGTGGCTTAAACTTCTATTTTTTGCTAATTCTCTGGGGTTCTATGAAATGTTTTTAAACTATTGTCGTTCATACAATTTTACAAGATTGGATGTCAAGAATGAAAAAATATCCCTCTCTTTAAGACATATTGTTCGAGTTGGCTATTGAGGTCCTACTCTCCTATATATATATATATATATATATATATATATATATAAACTTGTATAAGTTACATTTTGTTTCTTAATAAAGGAATTTGCATTTCACCCCGATGGAGGGGCAATAAATATGACTACGTTTGTTATAATAAGTAATGGGGTATATACAAGAACGGAGTACATAGATTTTTTTTAGTTCCTTCTGGTCGTTCTGTAAATTAATAAGATGTATCAAGATGTCAAGAATGAAAAAATATCCCTTTCTCTTGTAAGACATATAGTTCTAGTTGGCTATTGAGGGCGTACTCTCCTTTTTATATATCGGGTAAAATGCACTTTTGGTGCCTGAGTTTGAGGATAGGTTTTTATGTGGTCCCAAAGTTTCAAAAAGTGACAGTTTAGTCACCGACCTTCTGAAAATGGTTCTAAAAGGTCCCTGGAGTCAAACTTCCATTAGTGTCACTAACGGAATGCTAATGTAGCTAACAGAATGCTGATATAGGGTTATGAGTTGGATATTTATTAAATTTATATTTTTTTTTCTCTCATCTTTCATCTCCTTTTCTGAATCTACAAAATTCATCTCCCTTTCTCTCTACAAACTCTCTCTACAAAATCCATAGTCAAACTTAATAAATTGGAAGCAAAATTCTAAATCGATCCAACTTTTCTCGCATTTACACATTTCCACTTCCTTCATCTTCGCTATGGCTCCCTAGAAGAACATTCTCCTCAGACATGGCTCAATTTTCATCTTTGTACTGGTTGTCGGAATCGACAAAACTACCCTTGCCCAGAATCTGGATTTTCTCTTCACACTCAATGGGAACCCCAATAACCACATCTTTGGAATTAAATTCGATATGTTTGCCAATCAAGAATTCAACGACCCCAACAAAAATCATGTGGGAATCGATTTTAATTCTCTGACCTCTAACTTGACCGATGGCGGTGGGTTTTGGGCACACAACGGCCCGATTCTTGAAGAAACCCACGGTTTCTCCTTCTCATCATACACAATAACTTATTTTTTGGGATATTTAGAATTCTTTCTTCCAACTTATCAAGTTTGATGATGAATTTTGTAGAGAGAAAGGGAGAGGAAGGAGAGAAAACGTGGAGAAAGAGGAGAGAGAAAGAGGAGAAGTGGGAAGAGATTGAAATAAAATGCCACATAAGTTTAAAAAATAATATAAATTTAATAAAATATCCATTCACTAACAACACTCTGTTAGTCATACAAACGAAAGTTTGACCCAATAATCTTTTAGAACAATTTTTCAAAAGTCAGGGATCAAATTGTCACTTTTTGAAGCTCAGGGATCAAATAGTAACCTATGAAGAGGCAATAAATATGACAATATAAACCGTGTGTGTGTATATATATATAAACTTGTATAAGTTACATTCTGTTTCTTAATAAATGAATTTGCATTTCAACCTGATGGAGAGGCAATAAATATGACTACGTATTGTTTTAATTAGTAATGGGGTATATATAAGAAACGGAGTATATAGATTTTTCTTAGTTCCTTCTGGTCGTTCCTTAGATTAATGTGATCTATCATAAAGAGATAGGAATACCTTGTCTTAAAAGGTTTTTCAGTTCTCCACACTTTTAGAATATCTAGAGTGTCATCCAGGGTAACTCTAGTCTTGAACCCTATATCACGTACTAACTTTGTACTTCTGACCTGTTGCAATAACAAGAAGACAAGTCAACATCTAGAGGTCTATAACGATTAGAAGCTTAAAGAGAACCCAATACAATAGCTAGGCAACAAAAATATGGTGCCGTAGATAAGGTAAAGCACTTCTTCAAGTATAAAAAAGAATTGATGTGATTGTTCGGAGATACTTCATAGCATTCGGGGATGGTTCAACACACTTCAAAAAATGCTCATGATAACTTGTGAAAAGCACAATAAATAACTTGGAAGGTCACTCCAAATACATCTCAGGAAATGTTTAGCTTCATCCTCTGTTTTTGACAGCTGTCAAAAGATGAGGTGTAGAATAAAAAAGAATTGAAGCATTTGATTTATTTTCTTTAAAAAACTTGGTACATGGGAAAAAGTGTCAGGAAGCACCTCAAAGGATCTTTGTAAGTTATAGAATATCATAAAATGAGAAAAAAATTATTTGAAACGCAGAGTCATCAACATCAGGAACCCTTTTATAATTAACTGACCTTTGGAACGGCATAAGGAGCAGAGGCACCCAGGATTGAGCGAACTGCATCACAGTCATAATATAAATCCTTAGGGTAGTGAAGCTTGTTGTCCACATTTGATACTACCCACTGGACATCACAGATGCAACTCATAAAAGCTGACTGGAATTGTTTGCTAGAACCACTAGATTTAGAAATACAGTAACCCACAACTTTGTCACTCAAATGATCATCCCATAAAGTATCAAGAACCTCCAAAAGATATCTACAGCTCTCTCGGTTTCTATGCTTGGATAACAGGGTGGTTAATATTCGAGTTAACTCTGGCGATTCCCAATCTTTAACCACCAAACCAGAAGATATTAGTTCTGGGTCCCACAAGCTATTCTTCATAATAGTATTAGGCATATTAGCCATACTCCTGTTAACTTCAACTACATGGACAAAATCTGTGATGCCTATTTCTTGGAAAAAATTTCTCCATTTTTCGAGTCCACAAGAGAGTGAATTGGTCACTGGGTGATTCAAATAGGTGTCATCAACCTCGTGCCAACTCATTCCCACATTAATGAGCTTATCTATATCAATGGGATTTCCATACTCTTTACTGAAATGAACTGGTACCTCAACAGGTCTTTTGAAGCCATGGTTTGTTAAAATAAAGACCTTGTTACGTAATTCTGAAACTATAAACCCCTTTTCTACGTGACATTCAGGACAACTGGATAGTAGGTGAGTCATTACAAAACAAACATATTCTGTCATTAAAATTATGTTTCCATTTAGATTTGATTCATCTGATATAGCTGGAATGACATGTACTTTAATAATCTCATGGGCAGATAAACGTTGAACACCAATTCTATGAAGCATCCTGCTGACGTTTCCCACTGAAGGCCCATCCACGTGAGAGTTATCATGAGAGAAAAGAGAAAGGAAGGATGGACAAACTACACGAATCTTAGCATTCAAATTTGGGAAAGCTTTGAGTCCATACTTTCCATCAACGGTAGTATTTGAAGAATCAGAATGTAACCATATTGTACCTTCAGCTACGGAGCTATAGGTACCATCAGAAAGAGGAATTAGTGGAACTTTCTGAAGAGATCTTATAAGATCGGTATTCCTTTCCAAATCTAATGATGTTTGCCCAGGAGACTGAAGAAGCATGTTGTGAAGTACATTTAGACAAGAGCCCAACCAAACCAATCCCATTGATTTAAGGCTGCTATGCTTCTGACACAGAGAGGACATGAACTGCACTAGAATTTTAGGCCCATACTCTTCAATACCCAATGCTCTTGCTAGTGAGTTAGACAAGATTATATCCTTATTAAGGAATCCAAGCCCAAGATGTTCACGAAGCAAATTATCAGGAAGAAGAATAAGAGCTTCTTCATTCCAACCTCTTAAAACCTTGCATGGAGGAACCCATTCACTTTCTTTTCCTTCCAAAAGTAAGCAGTTAGACATACGTAATTTAGAAATAATTAATCTAGGAAGACTTGAAAAAAAACCATGTACTTCTCCAATAAGTGGAATATAGCTCATATAATCTGCAATAGCTTTCCCTGGACAACTTTCGAAGCATGGAAGAGAACAGAAAGATTTCACTGCACTCACAAACAAACCAGGAAATTCTGACAATAACCACTGATTCCAGGGACTATCACCATCCACCTCCTCTCGGGATGAAGGTAGAACAAAATCTCCTTGAATAATAAACTTCAAACCATACATTCTTAGAGGAAGAAATGCAAAAACTGGTTGTTGGTCCAGAAATGGAACGTAAGCCCCATTCTCTTCTTCCTGGAGAGTAAATGCAATTGAGATCTCAGTGGATTGGACATCATGCCGAACAACATCAGCCTTCAACTTCTGTGATACTACAAGCCATGTCATTTTTTCTTCCCCATGAGAAACCTTAATGATGCCATTTCCAACAATTTCTTTTCTCATAACAATAAGTGAATTGTCAAGCAAGTTTCTGATCTTGATACAGTGGAGACGATGAAGAAAGAGTAACAAAGACGGATGGAGGTCAGCAAACATATTCACAATGTTATTTATCAAAGCTCCTCCTCCAGATAACTTTGATCTGAAAGGAAGCACAATACAAGTATTCCAAAGATTTGTATCCTGATGATCAGAGGCATTAGAAGCCAACCTACCGTACAAGTCAACATTGAAAGGAGGAATGATAGTTGGCAAGACGAAACCAATCTGCCCCTCACTTATATCAAACTTAACATGAAACCCGTTGGAATGAATCTCAGGAGCATCTGTGACCTGCAGAAAGATCACCTAGCACTCATGAGACCAGATTGCATATACAATATCAGAAAAGAGAAGGAAAAGAAGAAGAAGAAGAAGAAAGAACAAAATAATAAGGAGGTGTAACACAGGTTGATAAAATCCTCAACTGTGATATGCACAATACGCATCTCAAGATAACAGTCAATTTATTTTTTTATAGACAACCTACTAATGAAGGCTTTTAAATGTCCAATAATGTTGTTAAAGATAAATGCGCCCATTAGCCTTTCAATTATATAACCATTGGCAGCACTTATTTTTGGATAACTAGGAGTTGGAGCTTTGCTCCCTACAAACACCCGCACCCACTGATAACTCTCAAAATAGAGAGTTATTTGGGTATAATGTTGGTATAAATTAGCTAAAGATAGCATCACTTGCACCCTTATTCACTGAGTTTGTACTAAAAAGATCATAAACACTAGCTTTCTACATTTTAGTATTGACAATTGCAATTGAGCTAATTCATTTTAACAGTAGTTCATTGGTGTATTGTTTGGGTTGATTTACTTTAGTTTTCCTATTTGTTATAAATAATTTGCTTGTTTAAAACCCTCCATCTTAAGTGATTATTGAAGTGTGTAACAATCAAACCTTGTGGATACGAAGTTTTTATTACTTGTTGCGACGATTGTGTACACTTGCACAAGGGGACATAGATCGAACCAACACCCACCTCAAGGCCCGGATCCGGGAGATATAAAGGATCTTTTGTTATTAAGCTCACCAGAAAGGTCAAACTTGAGGTCTCTAAGCTAGTATGACCAAGAGACCCCAAGTCCTTGCCAACTGGATTGCCTCTTGGAGGCATTGGGAGCAATTATAACTTGCATTCCAAAGATTTGTACATGTTTCGCTCTTTTTTATTAGTAACTTCATTTATTTTCCATTCTTTACTTTTTACTCAATCAAATACACTATTAAGTTACAGCTGTACATTCCATTTCGAGAAATAATACATCTTTTTCATGCTTTATGGTATCAGTGTGGTTGTCTTCTACCCCCAACCCCCTCCCCAATGTTATCGTTTAAATGCAATAATATTAAGACCATGGTAAAAAAATCCTTCTGCTACATACTTATCACCCAAAAACTTATTGTAATAGCACAATCGAAAACCATGGTCTTTTACTTATTCTTGAAGCATCTGAAGTGTGCCAACCAAAAAGTTCTAACGATGTAGAACAACTAATTTCATGAGATAGAAGCAAAAAGGGGGGAACACACACACACACATAATGAAGAGAAAGATAATGTTATCCTAAACATACCCGAAAAACTGATTTGAAGCCAATGCCTTTCTTTCCTATATATCCAGCATTAGATCCTTTCTTTGTTGAATTCCCAATATCACAGAGTGCTTTGATATTCTTAGCAGAAAAGCCTTCCTCATTATTTAAAACAACAATACCCGACTCCTCAAAAATGAATGCTAGAGTGGGCTCCACACTTTGTGGATAGACATTATCATCAGCATTTTGAACCTAAAATAACATCAGGATATTGATTAGATGAATGCAAAAAATCATGCCCATCAAGTAGATATTTCAACATCATGCATGAAATCAAATTTGGATGAGATGGAAGACTTCACCTTCAAAACAATTGAAGAGCTATATGCATAGTGTCATACCCTTTAGATTATCTTATACACCAAGAACGTTCATAACATTAATGATCCAGGTTCTGATACCTGTCTTACATATCTTTGATGATGTTAATTTCAGTGACATTTTTATATCTAGCTATTCTACAAATGCTTACAATCGAAAATGGTGCTTTTAGCACTAAGAGATAATAAATTATAGGTTCATCTTAGAAAATACATCTTTATTTTATTAGCATAATTCCTAAACAATTGTCCACAGAAGATACATTTGCTTTGGAAGAGAACCAACAGCATGGTCTGGAAGCAATCGAAACGATATTATGCTCAGACTATATCTGGGTCTTGCCTAATTCCAATGAACCCTTTTAATTCCAGTTGATGCTTTTCAGATTTTAGAATAGGTTTGTTTTGTCACAGAATGATCATCCAATTAAGTTCTCCTGAGAAATTAAGCCTAGAAAGGCAGTAAAGAAGCACTACTATTCAGGAACTATATGCACTAGTACGTAGCCCCAAACAATGTCAACACCATTTTATGTGCAGAACTGAAATTGCTTCTTTTTTTTTCTTTTTCGATAGTAAGTATGTTATAATATATGTCGATGAAGGAAATAAACCTAATAAGCAAAGACAGTAGCATTGCTCACCAGCTCAAGCAGAAAATGTGAATCCTGAGAATACAGCTCCTGCGAAAGACAATGAAGAGCTCTTCCTAGGCGAGCATGCTGCTTCCTCAACATACCAGTCTCAGCATTAGGGAGATCAGGATCAAGACCAAATTCATCGCGCCTGACGGACTGAATGATCTGGGCTGCGTCCTCGTTTCCATTCGGTTCTGAAGCAAGTGACATACAACTGAGGTCATTTGCATCATTACAAATTTTGGTAGCACAGTTCGTGCTAGGAACGCTTATTTTTTCATTACACATATTCCCTTCAATAGAGATAGATACATTTTGTTCTGAAGCAGAATGCCGGGTCAAAATACCACCTATGGGTAAATTTCTGTTCATCTTAGACCTATCATTCAAGCATGCAGATTCATCAGTGAACAGATCTGAAGAACTAGAAGACACTCTGTGATGGTCCTGAATCCACTCCAGCACACCAAGAGAAAATCCTATTTCATGAAGCATAAGGCGCTGCTCTGGTTTGTGACACTCATGTAAAATAGCTGATGCAGCATCCTTAATGACAGAACTCATTCCAGAAAGCAATATATCAGCAGCCAAGTAACGGAACTCTGACGGCAGATAACAAAGACAATCAATAACAAACCTAGACAATACTGGAATTGCGTTATTCCTCATATCAATCTTCTTCTTCAATTCACATCGTAAATTACCAGCTGCAACCTGCTCAAGAGTGTTCTGATGACAGAACACCTTTTCATGCCCCAGGGACCACTTGTCAAACACTTCTGTATTTTCAACAGAGTTCTTGAAAATGACTTCAAAGGCATTGTTAGCATGGTGCTTAAGAAGGGATAAGGGGACATGTTTTTCTCCCCCAAGTAAAGCAAATATGGATAAAAGCTTCACCGAGGTGTGAAAAGGGGATCCTTGCAGTGCAGCTTCCAAGAATGAATCTGCAGTAGCTGTGTGATCTATCCGTATAACTTTGCCTTCTTTGGTAACTATACACAAGAGGTTTTCTGTATTAACTTCATTCTGCAACCACGGTACAAGAGGACCAAGAGCTGGAGCAAATAAGATATCCCAATGAGACCATAAGTTCAAATCCAACAACATTGGTGCTCTGACCAAGACTTTCATAGCATCCTCTGATGTCACAGGTTCGATGGCTCTCAAACCTTGTCCAACTTCAGCAGTAACTGAATTGTCACCCATTAAATCATTATCCATCGTTGCCAAAGAATCTCTTACATGACATGTTCCTAATAATGTAACAGAAAAGATGACGCACTTTGAAACAACATTGTTCTTTTGCTGCCCTACAAGCTCCATAAAATCTTCCAAAGACCCATTTTCAGTCAGTTTGAAACTGATAAAGGGAAACTGCTGAGTAAGTAGGGCACATATCATCTGCTTGCTTATTAGTTCATTCTCGGATAAATTGTAACAAGCTTGTGATACTAAATTCACTAACTGACGCTGCAACATGCAAGCCTCCAAAGGGGATCTTACAGAATTCTCAGGCATAAAAAACTTGCGTAGCTCATCAGGGAGCATAGAGGCATGCTTCTGTAAGAAAATGAAGAAGCCCCCATGACCAAGAGACTTAAAATCTTCGGCAGAAAATTGCTCCACAAGCCAGAACTCACAGCTGCAGAGCTGTTTCAAAATGTAAATTCTATTTTCCAGGAGAAACCGATCGTTGCTGTGGATCTCCTGCTCAAACTTGATATGCTCACCAATTTTCTTGATGATATCTTCCACCGTGACGCCTTTAAATAAAATAGAAAAAAAAAATTATAATCATGCTATATCAATTTCGGCACCAACATTATTTTCAAGATAGTAGAGGTAAAATTGATACAAAGGCATCATAGTTCAGACATGCAACGCATGTACCAAATAAAGCAAAACAAAACTAGGAAACTGCCAATCTATGATCATTCAATTTATCTCAACTATTTCAAATTCTTCTGCTATTTAATATCATAAACAATTCTCCTCTTGTTTATTTATTCACAATTACAGTTCCCTAAAATAATTTCTGGCCTTCAATCCTATTCAAAATTTATAAGATTGTGAAACAAAACTGAAAATGAGGGAAAAGTAAAGTATATCTCAACATGGTTGTTGTTGTTCCTAAAATACTTCAGACTATAGCATTTCCAAGTCCAACGAAGTAATCTTTTCTTTCAGATAAGAACCAACGAAGTAAACTTGAGTACTTGCATGCTTGTCTATGTCTTGTGTTTTTTAACCAAGAAACATGGCTTTTATCGAGAGAAACGAAACAAAAAAAGGCCAACAATGGGCCAATAAAATCAGGCATACAAAAACAACCACCCTAAAAAGGGAGTCAAACTCAAACCTTAAACAAGGGCCCAATCCAAAAGAATCAAGTTCCAATCCAAAATAAGAAAATACATATACAGGTCTCTTTAAAAATTTAAAAAAAAAACAAATTAAAGAGAGAGAAGAAGAAAAAAAGCAGCTCCAATCTAGGTCTGTGTTGTTTCATGAAGAACTAAAGCAGTATAACATCCATCTGCAATATTATCTTCAGTGTCAAGAATGATGATAAGTCCAGCAAGCAAACGCTACTCACCGTGTTTAGACTTGGGGACATGCTTAATAAGAGCACCTTCTGCACTTGGACCTACATCTATGCACTCATATACTGGTTGTTTCTCAACACGTGTATTAGTTGATTCATGTAGATTGATTGTTTGTAAAGAATCATAAATGCTGTCCCACATCCCATTTTTAATAGATGAAACCTGCAATATTGACAATAATGAAAAAAAATATATAAATGACTTGGAATATTTAATCATAAGCAAGCAAGCAAGCATTTTGTCAAATAATAATAATAATAAGCAAGCAAAGCAAAGCAAAAATGTCCTTACATCCAGAGCCTTCATAGCATAATTATCAGAACATTATGATTATATAGACAGGATAATACCTGTAAACCATCAGTAATTGTATATTGGTATGCACTGATGATGTTTATACTAAATAAGTAATTGCATATGCAACTACTGCCTGTAGCTACCAATGTGAGAGTGATGCATAATTTTTTACATAAGAGGAGTCGTGATTGATCAACCCCATTGCTAAACAAATATATGTTTGGTTTCAACAGTTACCTACATAGTCGCAGATTATCCACAAAAGAAGGCATTAAACGAAACCTTATTTTTCAGAACAAGTTAAAGACTAGGAATTATTTTCAGATAGGTAATAAAATAGGGTTTATCAGAACCAATGTTGCAAGCCTCTGAAATACCATGGGTAAAAGTTTATCATTCTAAATTTTGTGACAAATTGATTGGAAATTTCGGAGTTAAGAAAGATTCGTTTTCAATGCTCCACCTCTGCAACTTCTGGAATTTTTCCAAACTCAACCTTCAGAAAATGTCATTTGGAAGAACGGGGAAAAACTCCTTAATCACCTTTCTGTATATTTTCCAAATGCACTACATAATTTGAGTTATTATTGGGATTGGGAGAACCAGAGGCAGCACCTATGCATGTGGGTTGAGAATAAATCAACACTTCTGCAATCATGCACACAACTTGTAGAAACAGAGAGTATGAAATTTGAGGATAAAAAACAGTGAGATAGGTTTGACAACATGTGAGGTTTGTGGAATTCCCGTTTTTATTAGGCCTGATTCCATTTGCTCCGCATGGACATCTCACGTCCACATTCTTTTATTCACTTTCAATACAAGTTTTTTCATCAATAAAGAATTTTAAAAAATAATAATAAATAATACACGTCAAGTATGCTTGTGCAGATCATTTCAAAGCATCTGCAACAGGCCCAAAAATCTGAAAATCACTCTGCCTTAAAGCTACCACAGCAGCCAACAAGCAGAAAGTTCATATTCTCCAAAAAAAAAAAGGTAGACAAACTGGTCGTTAGCAAAACTCTCTAAAGTAGGAAAATAAAACAAATGTCACAAGGGTAAGCAAACATCTCAATTATAACTAAGGTCAATCATATTCAAAATAGCAAATCCCTTACAGCAACATTGAGTAATCCAATGAATGGGTAAGACGATAACATCGATCCCACTCTTTTTTTTGACCGAAATTTTATTCCATAATGGTGAAGCATCCGTTGGAGTACCTACAGTATTATATAATCAATTCAGATTAGTCAGTTTGATATAACAAGTAAATAAGAAAGCACACAAACACGAATGATTCTGTTCAAAATCCAATCCTAAACGTGCTCGTCAAGTAAACAAACAATCATCCGATGCCTTTTGGGCAACATTTTTTTTATGTAAGAGACGAACATTCATTATAGAAAAGGGAATACAGCCAAAAGCCTAGACGAAAGAGAGTCCCTCTGCCTAGGAGGATAAGAAAGAAAAAGAAAAACCCCCAACCATATCAAAAGGCTACTGTACTTGAAAAAATCCCCATGATAGGCACTTCGATTTAAGGACATATGCCGTATATTTTGCCAAAAGGCATCAAAAAAACTTTAAATCATCATTCTAGATCCCATTGTTACTAATTTGCAACCAAGCACCAAACGAAACCCCTAATAGCACCTTTCCATAAGAATCACGGTGTCTTTTATTTTAGCCATTATCTCAAAGGCCTCTTCTAAAAGCCAATCTGCTGGGTTTTTCCGAAGAAAAATTTGAGGTCAAATAATTTTAAAAAAGAGAGCCGCCCAGTCAAAAACAGTAGGTGAAGAGGCAATCATAGATTCCACATCCTTTTGGCTGTATTCCCTTGGTGTGGATTCTTTCAACCAAAGGAACACTGCCCTGCTCCAAGAATGGCTGTGTAGGTTCATGCAAGAAGATAACCCTTTGTGGAAAAGGATCATCGTAAGCATCTATGAAAACAACCATTTCGGTTGGACAACTCCCCTCCTCCAAAAAGCAAGGCTTTGCAGCCCCTTCGATTGATATAGCAAAAAGCAGTCCTTATTTCTTCAAGTTTATCTCGTTCAAGGTCATAAATGGTCGAAAAGCTAATCTTTTGAAGGATCCGTGGCTTGATTCCACCCCTTTAGAGCAGCTCTTCCCGAATTTATATAATCTTTCTTCTAAGAAGGAGGCATCCATGGCTGTGTGGTTAGAAGAGCAATGTAATACGGACTTGAGCTTTCAAAGAAGTATTTTTGACAGAGAATAGAAAAGTTGGATGGGTCTGGTAGGTAAACCTGAATCCTTTCAGCCAAGGGAAGGAGATAATGGGGTGGAATGGACCCTCAAGAGCTCTAAAGTCTTCGCCACGAGGTCCCTTTCCTTAAGCCCCCAGAAACTCCAAGTTCTGTTGGTAGACTCGATTTGGAATTTCATCGGTCCAAAAGGGTGAAGTTGTTCCTTTGGTATCTAGCCCATGGCAGTACAAACACTCGAGAGAAGCTCCAAAGGAAGCTCTCAAGCTGGAATCTGTCCCCTTCAGCTTGTAGTGTGTGTCTAAACCATGAAGAAAATGACGCCCACCTCTTCATTGTCAATTCACTAACAGTTTTTGAATGTTTGTTTTAAAAGAGATGAGTCTCTCTATGGTGATTCAAACATAGGAAATTACTTTGTAAATACAGCTTGGCCATGATTCTCCAAGAATGGAGGACTGCTTTGTTTTAGTCTCTTCAGAGGGGCCCTCTCATCCCTAGGCCCTTAAGTTGTTGATTTTTTTTAAATGGAGTTCTTGTTTCTTATAAAAAAAATCTGCGGTGACATACAGAGTGGCACTCCTGTTCTGCAACCTATCCTATGTATTAAGACTCACTCCTGTTCTGCAACCTATCCTATGTATTAAGACTTATGTAGTACGCCATAATAGACTACAAGTGAAATATGAATTTTGTTTAGGAAACTCATCTCCAAAATAAACTATGCAAGGGTAGAACAAAATTCCAAACCAATCCATACTTATTGATGCCAACTGCCAGCATGATCAGTCCAGCTTAAGAAAAAAATGAATCAATTCTTCAATCTCTCTATCAAAAAGTCTTCTTACTCAAATGTACATCTCCCCCTTGAGAATTGTCATGCAAAAGAAAATTAGCTTTCTTATGATCGATTTTTTGACGCTATAGTTCTGTTGGTTATTAATTAGTGTAAATGTTATTTACTTTTCTATTACTATAGCTTTTCTTCTCTCATTTCCAATTGGAGAAGTTTTTTGTAACTCCCTTCGATTGAGTTTCCCCTCTTTTGTAATTTCATGATATCTGTTAGAGTATATATTAGTATATTTTACATTCTTGTAAATAATATGTATTCATTTGTCCTTTACCTTCCCCTTCTAGGATTAGGTCAACCTTGTATATTTGTCTATATATATAGACTTCAGTAATGAGAATAAGATCGATCTGGTTCTCTCAAACCTTAGTTTCTACATGGTATTAGAGCTCTAGGTTTCTTGCCCATTAGGGTTTTGTGTCCATTAGGGTTTTGTCCATTAGGGTTTTGTTCATTGCTATCCAACTCAACTCACTGCCACTGTCGCAGCCCGCCGCCCACCGTCGTTGTCGCCGTCGTTTGCTGATTCTCCAACTCTGCTGTTTTCCAATTGCTATTTGTGGGTTTCGTCTCGCCGTCCTTCGCACCTCCGTCGCTGCCCGTCGTCGTGCGCTTCTGTCACCGCCAATCACCTTCGCCCCTCTGGTTGTCGTGGGGTTTTTTTTGTTTGTGTCCATATTGTTGAAGTTATGATCGAGAAGAAATTAATGGTAACAATTTCCGCGGAAGAGTTTGCTAAATTCCACCAGTATCAAGAGTCATTGATGGCATCGTCCTTTAATCCAATTACTGCCATTGTTGATTCAGGTAATACCAATAAATGTCTTATTTCATCTGCGTCAAAATGGATCATTGACTCTGGTGCTACGAATCATATGTCAGGTATCCCCAATTTATTTGCTACCTTTTCACCATCTACATCTTTACCTGATGTTAAAATAGCGGATGGTACCACTTCTCATGTTCTTGGCTCTGGCATAGTTCATCTCTCCAAAACTCTTTCATTGACCTCTGTTTTAAATTTACCACAATTTTCTTTTAATTTGATTTCTGTCAATAAACTTACTCGTGATCTCAATTGTTGTGTCTTATTCTTTCCTGGTTATTGCTTATTTGAGGATCTTACAACGAAGAATACTATTGGTAAAGGGCGTGAATCTGATGGCATCTACACGTTTGATACACAAATACCTACAGCCACCGTTTGCACTCGAGTGCCAACTTCTTTCGAAGAACATTGTCGTTTGGGTCATCCATCTCTCTCCGTGTTAAAAAGTCTCTGTCCTCAATTACATAGTTTGCATTCTTTAGATTGTGAGTCATGTCAATATGCTAAGTTTCATCATCTCAGTTCCTATCCTAGAGTCAATACACGAGTCAATGCTCTTTTTGAATTAGTCCATTCTGATGTATGGGTCCTTGTCCTATTGAGTCCAAAAATGGATTTCGGTCTTTTGTTACTTTTGTCGACGATTTCTCTCATGTAACTTGGTTATATTTGATGAAACATCGTTCTGAGTTACTTTCTCGTTTTCGTAACATTCATGCTGAAATTCGAACTCAATTTGGTGGCTCTCTTAAAGTTCTACGGAGTGATAATACTAAGGAATATTTTTCTGGTGCTCTTGGCTCCTATTTAAGTGAACATGGTATTATTCATCAATCCTCATGTGTTGATACTCCGTCTCAAAATGGAGTTGCAGAAAAGAAAAATAGACATCTACTCGAAACAGCAAGGGCCTTAATGTTTCAAATGCATGTTCCAAAATACTTTTGGGCTGATGCTGTTTCGACAACTTACTTCTTGATTAATCGCATGCATTCGTCAGTTCTTAAGGGTGAAATACTTGATCGTACTTTATGTCCTACGCAACCTTTATTTCCTATTAAACGTAAAATATTTGGTTGCACTTGTTTCATTCGGGATGTTCGCCTCCAATTCACCAAATTAAACCCTAAGTCATTGAAATGCATTTTCCTTGGTTAGTCTCGTGTTTAAAAAGGATATCGATGTTATTGTCATAATCTCAATAGATATCTTGTCTCTCCTGACGTTACGTTCTTTGAAGATACTCCTTTTTCATCGTCCTTGAGTACCAGTCAGGGGGAGCAGTCACAGGAAAATAATACATTTCTTGTCTATTTTATTGTCTCTACTTCTACTGAAGAGCTTCCTAGCAATACATCTCCCTCTGCGACTGATCCTTCTCTCCCTACTATTACTCATGTTTATTCTCGTCGGCAACTTCCTACGGACTCATGCCCTATACCAGCAGCTTCTTTGCCTATGCATCCAGGAACGAGTGATGACCTTCCTATTGCCCTTCGAAAAGATAAGCGTAAGCGTACTTATCCTGTCTCTTCTTTTGTTTCATATAACCATTTATCATCATCTACTTGTTCGTTTATTGAATCCCTTGAATCTGTATCTATTCCTAAAACTGTTCATGAAGCTTTTTCTCATCCTGGTTAGCAGGCTGCTATGTTGGAGGAGATGACTGTCTTAGATGACAATGGTACTTAGGATATAGTGTCTCTTCCTGTAGGAAAGAAACTTGTCGGTTGTAAATGGGTGTTTGTTGTTAAAGTTCATCCGGATGGATCAATTGCCCGATTGAAAGCTCGACTTGTTGCTAAAAGATATGCACAGACTTACGAAATTGATTATTCTGATACTTTTTCTCCGGTTGCTAAATTGGCTTCTGTCAGGTTATTCATTTCCTTAGCATCTATTCACCATTCGCTCTTGCATCAGCTTGATATTAAAAATGTATTCCTCCATGGTGATCTTCAAGAAGAAGTGTATATAGAGCAACCACCAGGTTTTGTTTCTCATGGGGAGAATGGAAAGATATGTTGCCTTCGTAAATCCTTATATGGGTTGAAACAAAGTCTGCGAGCATGGTTTGGAAAATTCAGTCAGGTGATTGAGAATTTTAGAATGAAGAAGAGTAAGTCAGATCATTCTATTTTTTATAAAAGATCTGAGTCTGTGTTATCTTACTAGTTGTATATGTTGATGATATTGTGATTACTGGTAATGATTCATCAGGCATCCTATCACTCAAGTCTTTTCTTCATAGTCAATTTCATACTAAAGATTTGAGAATGTTGAAATATTTCTTAGGAATTGAGGTAATAAGGAGCAAGAATGGGATCTTTTTGTCACAAAGAAAGTATGTACTTGACTTGTTAACTGAAACAGGAAAATTAGTTACTAAGCCACGTAGTACTCCAATGATGCCTAATTTACAACTTACAAAAAAATGAGAGTTGTTGAAAGATCCTGAGAAGTATAGGAGGTTAGTAGGGAAGTAAAATTACCTTACAGTTACTAGGCCTGGCATAACTTATCCAGTCAGTATTATGAGTCAATTTATGAGTTCTCCTACGACTGACCATTGGGCCGCATTGGAACATATTCTATGTTATTTGAAAGGTGCTCCTGGACGTGGTTTGTTATATAAAAATCATGATCATCTTAATATTGAATGTTTTTCAGATGCTGATTAGGTAGGTTCTAAGGAAAATAGGAGATCAACTTTTGGATATTGTGTATTTGTTGGGGGTAATTTAGTTTCTTGGAAAAGTAAGAAACAAAATGTGGTGTCACGTTCAAGTGTTGAATCAGAATATCGAGCCATGGCACAATCGATATGTGAATTAGTATGGATATATCAGCTTCTGACTGAATTGGGATTTGCCATCACCACTCCAATGAAACTTTGGTGTGATAATCAAGCAACTCTCCATATTGCATCTAATCCAGTATTTCATGAACGAACCAAATACATTGAAGTTGGTTGTTATTATGTACGTGAGAAAATACAGCAAGGATTGGTGGCTACAGGATATGTGAAGACTGGAGAGCAGTTAGGAGATATCTTCACTAAAACATTGACTGGAGCACGAATAGATTATCTTTCTAACAAGTTGGGCATGATTAACATATATGCATCAACTTGAGGGGGAGTGTTAGAGTATATATTAGTATATTTTACATTCTTGTAAATAATATGTATTGATTTGTCCTTTACCTTCCCCTTCTAGGATTAGGTCAACCTTGTATATTTGTCTATATATATAGACTTCAATAATGAGAATAAGATCGATCTGCTTCTCTC